TAATTATTAGAAAGGCTTTATTTTCATCATTGCGTCAATATAATAACTTTCAGTGTTTTAAAGCTGCATTTTCATTCTAACCAACTGTTATGCATATATGCATAAACAATTGTTCTTTTCTTTAATTGATTTTTGACAACAATAAAGCGTTACGAATAATTGTAATAATTCTAATTCGGTTATCAGGAGTTGATAACGAGGCCCTAGAACTCGGTGATGTAAATGTATCAGAGAAACCACCGATTGAGAATGGAAATGGTGTTAACGGAAAAGACGAAAGAGATCCAAATATCCATATAGAAACGGAGAAAGAGCAATCGAAAGTAAATTTTGACGATATACCGTAAGTTCATATGTTAGAAGCGTATTATTTAATTTCCTGGCAAATTTTCACTGTGATGTAACAAGATTACGAATTTCTCTTTATACTGCATACTGTAAATGCAATCATCCTGAAGAAATGATGGACTGGTTTTCTGTTGACATTGTTAACAATGCAATCAGTCTGAAAAATATAAAACAGTCTGTACTATGTTAAAGAAATGAAATGGACTTTAGGATTATATTGTTAAGTTGGCATTAGCAAGGTCCTAGAAATGAGTAAGACATAGTTTTATGTAATTTATGAAGTAAATTTTGCAACGTAAAGCAGCTTGCTTGAACACCCTTAAACGTCATCCATATTGGAATGGTCTAAAAATGTACGGTTGTATAACAGACGACAATGATATCTTTTCCAGGGACAATGTTTTAGAAGATGATGATGACCCGTCTTTCAGACGCTTGTGTAAATGTCTAACATTAAGTATAGCTTACGCTGCAAACGTCGGAGGGATCGGGAGTCTTACCGGAACTGGACCAAACCTAGTCATGAAAGGACAACTTGACATGTAAGCAGTTGATTCATTGATAATTTATCGATGCATTTTCATAGCTATTTCAAACAAAATAGGTACTAGAAAAAGAATAATATGAGGCAAAGCCTATGAACGGGGAAGACAGATATAACGTTCGTTCATTTTTATTTTACAAGTTTCTTTTTTAAGGTGTCATTCGTATTCCGTTTTCAATCGGAACACCTCAACTATTTTTCTTAAGCAGAAAAGTTGCAATTGTTCCGTTATCGGAATTCCCTGACAATTATCATTGAGTTACTTTGAAAATGGAGGCGCCCAACTAGAACTTGCACTGAAAATTCCATTGATAGGTATATAATTCTATGTATTTTTTAAGTGTTCCATTTATTCGATCTCCTTTTAAATATACACATGTAGTCTATAGCTGGGCAAGCAAATGGCCTTTGACTTATCCGTATAGAAAAAAGTACAATATGGCCGCCGGTTTTGCACCATCCTTTGGCATCTACCGCATCGCTCTCCACAGCACCTTCATATATTGACCTCTTTCTTAGATACTTGACAGTTGACAGAATAGGCAATGAGTGTAATGCGTTAACTTCTTTTTTTGTGTTTGGCTCGATGTTCACTCACCGAATTTTTATGCTGACTTGTAGCAATCCTATGGTACCTTATGTTCTTTTAACATACTAGAAAGTTTTTTTGTGTGTTCAGAGATATTCCATGCTCATCTTTGAGTAAAATACAATGTACTTTTTTCGCAGAAATTGATTGTATAATATATCTTGTTTTGGGCAAAAATATTTTCCTTGTCATTTCAAGCCCTGTATTGTGTTTTAATTCCCCTTTTCTTTCAGCGTGTACGAGGGATATGGTATCAAAAACTCACCAATTACATTCGCTAGCTGGATGGGTTTCGGAGTACCTCTGTCATTTTGTCTTGTTATTATTGTCTGGATATGGCTTCAGTTCTATTTTCTTAGATGCAAGTAAGTTCGTCTGCTGCAAAAAAGAAAACCAAACAATTACTATGCTCAAAGCATTGACCAGTTATGCTTCTAATATTGTATTTTTTTAATTAATGTATTTTAAATGGGTCTTCCCACACACGTAACTTGTAATGTGAGCAGGACAGCAAGTGTACAAATTTTATTCATTCGAGATAGTCTTTAATAAATTAAATCACAATATAAATAATAAAAATAAAAAAAATCCACAGACAACAAATATAGCTTTTTACACTTTAAATGACCTTTTTACAGTGGTTGTTGTGAAGAAAAGAACGATGATAGAAGTATAAGGGTGAAGGCCGTTATCCGTACAGAATATGAAAAACTCGGACCTGTCAGGTAAAATAACTATTTTCTTACATAAAATTCTGGAGAAAGAGTGATCATTAACCGTTGATTTATATAAACCGTTAGTCTAAGGACAATAACACTTCAGTGTCCGTGTGTATAGCACTTTTCTAGAAAAATTAATTTCAAGAAAGGGATATTTGGAAACTGTGTTGCATAACTTCTATCTGTGAATTAAACAGACTAACCATTGCATTATTTTCATAATCTTTTTGTCCAGGTTAAAAGTAAGATCCCTTCTCGTAGACAAGTTTGTTACTTTTTAGAGCATCATTTATGTAAATCAAGAATGTTGAATGAATATTTTCAGTTTTGCACAGGGAGCCGTTATGGGACATTTCATAGTTTTGGCGTTGCTATGGATAACCCGAGACATGGGCGGTGAATATGGCTGGGGTTCACTTTTTCAAAAAGGGTTTGTCTATTAATTTATATTTTATTTATCTTACTAACAAAAGTTTGATTAAATCGAACGTATACGAAAAGTGTAAAACTATATTGAGATTTTTTTTCGTTTGATTTATTGGCAAACAAATTTTCTCTTATACATTTGAATTATCATTTGTTATTTTGCTACATACTAGTATACGAATATAAAAATAAAACACATTCTGTTTATCTTAAGTGGTTATTGTGTTTATATTTATACGATTTGCACTCACTCGCTCGCTTGCTCGCTCGCACGCACGCACGCACGCACGCACGCACTCACCAACTCACTCACTCACTCACTCACATTGCCTCTAAATTTTAAGCACAATATCGTTATTTTTATACCATTATATAAATTTGTTTCTCAACAAAGGCTTTTAATGTCATTCTGTTAACTTGAACGAAATACTTAAATCATGCGAAATATATGTAGTATAAAGAACATGGTTGTTCGCCCTTCGTTACATCATTTTTGAGATTTTATGTACCTTTAACTTGTTTTTATCACATTTAAAAGAAAATTAATACATTGTTTATTGCTTCTATTCATTCAGATATGTGAAAGATGGAGTACCAGCCATATTTATTGCAACTATGTTGTTTATTTTCCCGTCATCTTTGCCGCGAATATTCTGCCTCCGACCAGAAGGTAAAATACGTAGAGAAATTACATATTTTTATTTCAAATTATTTATTTTAATGCATTTGTTATAAGAATAAACAAAAACCTTGACCGAAAAGCACAAAAATGACTTCTACAACACTTAAAGTTTAGGCCGCTAGGACGCTAGACTGCCAACTTCATATACGATATGATAGAGTCAAAGCTCTTTTGCGTTTCAATTAAGTACGAGCGCACTTTTGAATTGTTTCGTTTAAATGCACGTGCTCTGTATTTTACATTTCCACGTTAGGTACACGTGCACCACTGAAACCATTATTATCATGGAAAGCAGCTGTGGAAAAGGTTCCTTGGGGCGTGGTATTCCTCCTGGGTGGCGGCTTCGCAATGGCATATGCGTCACAGGTTATAACTATTAACTCATACAGAAAATATGTCTTGAGAAATTAGCCATAATTTAAAACTAATCCCGAAAGCTTGAATTAAAGCAAACTTTGACCTTTTAAGTGCAAGACTCCGCACTCTGAGTGCTTAAAGGTTTGATTGGTCCTCATTAAATCTAGAATACATTACATATTAATATCTTATACATTTTAGAATAGAATAGTAGAATAGAATACCAATTAATTTGGGTCAGTGATGTAACATTTTATATTCATGTCTAAATTAATTTGTATGCTTGAAGAAGATGATGTAGTGTTCCAACCATAATTGAAATTTTTGTTTTGTTTTATTTTTAGGAATCGGGTTTATCAGCGTGGGTTGGTGAGAAATTAAGCGTGTTAGATTACCTATCACCTTGGGTACTAAATCTTACATTGTGTTATATCGTAGCTGCAATGACGGAGGTTACTAGCAACACAGCAACGTGCACTTTAATGATGCCCATACTGGCAAACCTGGTAAAGTTTGAATCCTTTATAAAGACACATACATGGGTTGTTGTTTTTTCTTGTTGCTGTCTTCATCATTATCCTCATCATCATCATCATCATAATCATAAACAACATCAACATCATCATCATTAGTATCATCAGCAGCATTAGTATAAGCGTTAAGTCCATCATCATCATCATCATCATCATCACCATAATCATCATCACCATAATCATCATCAACATCATCATCATTATCCTCATCAGTATCATCAGCAACATAAGTATGAGCATTAAGTCCATCATCATCAGCATAATCATCTTCATTATCATCATCATCACCATCATCATCATCACTACCACCAAAATCATCATTTTCTTTTCTTATATTTAATATCATCATTACTATCAATACTTTATTTATAGATCAATATTATCTTCATGAGCGTCAATTTGGTAGGTCATATTTCCAAACAACCGTTTATATAGGGTCATATAATCTGTCAAAAATGTTTATAACTAATAATATAAACGTTATATTTATGGCGGAAAAGTACGTAGTCTTTCCTGTTTTGAGTGAAAAACATTCAATGCTTGAATTACCAACTACTGCCTGGTTGGCAGTTGGAGATTCGAATCAATACCGTGGTGGACATAAGGAGACAGTGTGTTTCTATGTTGGAGAACACATCTTTCCTTTCATATTTCCGTTACATTTATTTCTGAAACGCACTGATAACGTGCTAAGTTCGAGGAGTCGCGCGAACAACGACTTAGTCCCCGGTAAAAATGTATGACATGTTCGAACATTTCATGCTAGTGATAGTAGATTGAAATACCAAGTACAAGCTGTTGAATAGTTGGGAATTACGTATAACCAACTACCTACTAGAAGGTATTGGAATATCCAACTACCAACTAAACTGACGCTCATATAATCATCATTATCATGATTTTGATTCGGCTAATCATATGCATCATATTGACATTTGTTTCTTTCTAATATATTTAGTATTGCTTACTATTATTATTATTATTATTATTATTATTATTATTATTATTATTAAAGAAACCAATATTCCTTTGCACAGTTAATTACAAATGTACACGGAAAACATAGAAAAATAAATGTAAACGTATTATGTTATAATAAGACGTATTATAAAGCTGATATTTTCTAAATATCATGTTTATATTACCTAGGCTGTGCATCTTCATCAAAGTCCCATTTATCTGATGTTCCCGACTGCCATAGCAACGTCCTTCGCCTTCATGTTACCAGTAGCAACGCCACCAAACGCTGTCGTGTTCTCATACGGATATGTCCGAGTCATTGATATGGTAATGTTGTGTTGTTTATTAAATAGATTAAACAATAGTTACACCCTAGTTATACTTATATGCTTTGTTATATACTGTTTACAGACAAGCTTGTTTTGGTTATTAATAGATGCGGACACCAGCTTTAGAAATCAGACCCTCTTACGGTTCCGACTGTAGTATTATTTGATATACATGTATATTGTGAATACATTTGTTAATAAACATACATTTATAAAAGATACCTGTAAGAAATGGTAGTTGAAATGAAGAAAAAACAACAACAATACATTTTGAATACCATATCTCACTCTGCAGCAGACGAACATTTTCTGCCGCGTCAAAGTGGATATTTTTGGCGGAAAAATCTGCCAATATGTATCTAGGTTATTATATAGTTGATGGATCAGATTCAATCAGTCAAGAAAATATATTTCCCTTAACTTAGTTTCGTCAAACAATTCATAAAACAGAAGTGCATTAGTTGATGTAATAGTACGATTTAGATAGTTTGAAGGTCGCACGTTATATGTGCATTTGTAGGTACATAAAGCTATTGTTGTTATTCCATGAATTATTCGTTATTCAACTTCCTATTCATTTTAGTAATTATATTTCATGTTTTACATTTACAGGTAATGGCCGGCTTCATCCTAAATATAGTCTGCGTACTGGTTCTAATAGGATTTTCGGAATCTCTCGGCGATCGCATTTTTGACTTTCATACCATTCCAGAAGAAATATTAAAGACATACAATGAATCGTTAACGTAACAATTGATTACGTCATTGTCTGGCGTCATCTTACAAATACGTGAAACCCGTTCAGATAAATGCTTTACTGATCCCTATATATTTGTAAAAAGAAAAAAGACAGTTCCAACACCCTCTCACGGGCTTGGTGGCAACAAATCTGTTAATATACAAGAATTCTCGATCTGAGATTTAATCCTCTTTAGTGGAAAATGATTCTGTTTTTAAGTTGATGTAAAGAAGTAAAAGCCCCACACAGGGCCTCTATTGTATCCATAATTGCTTATATGTTGAAATTAACATAAGATGTTACTTAATATTTCTGAAGTTAATATTTCTAAGTTTATATGCATTTATGAGGGATCAAACATTTCAGTTTATGATTGCACTATATACATGGATGCTATTTTTATACCATTGATTCTTTGCCTTTGTAATTAATATGTAACATAAATGTATATATTTTAAATAAAATGTATGTATTGTTGTCACAGTAAAGTTGTTACAGTTACTGTTTTATATAAGCAGTTCTGTAAATTCTGTTTGCCAGCATGCTTAACTGAACTTCTTTATTACAGGAAAATTTGAAATTGTTTGATGAAAGTATTTTCAATAGAAAGATGGTGAAATAAAAAGCTAAAATCTATTGGCGGCAACAGAGAAACATGTAACAAAATAGTCCTAAAATTAAACATGTGTTTTGGCTCCGCCCACTTTTTTATATTTGTTTTTAACAAATATGATATATATTTGCAGATAGCACCATATTTCATGAGTAAAATTAAATAAACGTACATATTTAGCCAAACAATATTTGAGGAGTTATAAACAGCATTGACAAATCATTCAGTTTATTTTACTTCCGCTAAAAATCAAGAATATGGAAGAACCTTAACATTTCAAATTAATACATCGCTTTACAATGAAGATATCTAGGAGAGTGGGTAGCGTTGGGAGTAACAAAAGCATGAACATTGGAGATGAGACAAAGATGAATTTTGATAATAATCACAATATATTGGCAGAGTTGGCGTAAGAATAACAAAAATATGAGTTTCATAAAATATGATGATAAAACATGCACGGGTCACACGTGAAATCGATGCTCGTGTTTGTCAGTTCTATGATCTGAATTTTTCCAATGTTTAGTCAGGCATTTGTTACACATTATCGCATTATTATACAACACAAGTATAAAATATGTTCACATTTTCATTGAGCAAGTTTTCAGTTTTATGCACTCAATTCTTCTTCAAATAGTAAACCTGAAAAAGAAAAAAAATGTAAAAGTTTGAAAGCCTTTCACAGATTTAAAAAATTTAAAAAGTAAAAGGCTTTACATAACCAATTTTTTTTTATCAGTTCAAATGCAATATTTAAAGACATCTTAGACTCCCAGATTCCTTTGTTAGCATACAAATTAACACAGGTTGATACCCCCCCCCAGAAAGAAAGAAAAAAAGAAACAACAACAAATATTGATATATAACTTACAAGTATGCTTTCCTCGCTCCTACCTTGTTATAAAATAATCAGGTTCAAGGCATCTGCAGAGTGCTTTTAGTCTTCTATATTCTAAATTAAACTAACTGATTTATTCTGCTTAAGCCGGTGCGGGGGTGGCGGTAGCTTGCATTTACACTACATGTCTATGTACGGGATGAATCAAACCGATACTGCAGCAACAATATCAATGTTGCCGTGTTGAGCATTCGCTAAGGTACCAAGTTTCTATATTTTAACAAATGATGAAGGATTGATTTTCATTATGTACTGGAAAAAGCAAGGTGTACAACGACGTTCGCGCAACAAATCGTCCAGAACTTGAAGTCCTATGAGTTATGGTCTATTCATAATTGAAATTTATTAACTAAATTGTAAATGTTTTCAAAAAACATAAGAATAACCTATTCATTTTTTTAAAATATCAATTTTCTTCACGTGCATTAAAAAAGTTATATTGTAAAAGTGCAGCAGAGTCAATCTATGAAAAGTATTATTTATCATTGAAGAGTTTGTACCAAAATGTATTCGTATACCTGCAAAGCATGCTGTGAGATAACTTGCCACGGTTCCTGCTATCATAGCTCTAAAAATATGATTAGTTATTTCCCCTATTCTGTGTGGAACAATTACTTCAAATGAACCTATAATTAGACCCATGACTGCAAAGGAGGCTGAACCGCACAAGGCATATGTAGCGATAATTTCTGATCTTGGCTGAAAAGAAGAAGAAATAACTTCAAGCAGCATGCCTTTAGATTCATGCTAAATTTCATAGAAAAATAGAAATGAATTTGATGTGAACAAAGAAAGTAACTTACACATTGCAAACGGCACTTACAGTCCACGTAAATTATTAATTATGGTAAACAGGTGCTGGATAGTAATTTTGTTCATGATGATCAAGGGAATATATTTTAATCATAATTTGACTATTATTGGCAAGACAAATTGTCAAACGCATGTCATATGTGTGTAAACTATCAACTGAGTAATTCTTTAACTATGAATCAAATTATACACCCATAAGTCGATATAAACAAAAAAACTACTTACATCTATAACACCGCCAACTAACGTCTGATTTAGTTTATCAAGAACTATGTCGTTACCAACAGCCATCCACGTATTGTTCACACTTTCTGCTATGTAAGATCTATAGGCAACGCCATTCTGTAACAGACATGCTCAGTTCAACAAAATCTATTTTTAGAAATGGCGCATGCACGCTTATTCCGGAAAAGGACGGTCAAAATTGTTTAAATTGTTTGAAACCACATATAATGTTTCTTTAAAAAAATCTTCTGTCGGGTATATTAAATATACGCGTTTGCTGTTGTTGTTGTTTCAATATTACGAATCATAAAAAGGCTGCAGTAAATTTGTGCAGACCAATATCATATGTAACACTTTAACTATGTGTATGGAAGAATTTTATTACTATCTTACTTATCCATAGGTTCTTAAGATAGATATTTTACTATGTTTATAGCAGCATCATATACATGTATTGCATCAAAACTGCACAATAACCTTCATTATCGGACCCAACTTCGGATATGCCACAATAGCTAAACTGAATGTCCGTATTCCTAAAAGTTCCCCGATGAACAAACAATCTTCTGGCCTTGCCCCCATTAGAAATGCAAACGGATAAAATGCATAGGAAAACAGAAACTGAAAAAGAAATAAATCGTGGTACAAAATACAAGTTTCTATATAATTATGAATTTCACCGATGATAATAAATTATTGTTGTGGAAAGAAAGGTGTACATGTTCATATAATGCTTTATAATTTTATATTTGTATAACATCCATATAAATATTTATGTTGAGCAAAGGGATGCAAGCGACTCCGTGGCCGAGAGTTTAAGGTCAACGACTTCAAACCACTTGCCCGTCACCGCTGTATGTTCGAATCCCGTCAAGGACTTTAGATTCTTTCTAGCTTTACTTTAGATCAGTGGCACTACCTAGGGGCTCACTCGTGTCGGAAGAGTCGCCACATGACCTTCTTAGTGTCACTGTTGACCTTCACTATGTCAATGTAAATTAAAATCCATAAGAAATAAACCAGGATCGTTTATCATCCAAAAAGAGTCGAAAAATTATCAGTTCCTCTTGCACATGATTAATATTTCTAACATTTTCAAAATCGTAGTTTCTGTATACGTCTCATTTATCTTAAAATAATTCATGGTGTTTAAAATTTTCAATTAAAATATTTAAATGTGCATACAGATTTACCAAAGATAAGAATAAGATTTAATGAATTTTAACGCAAAATATTTTGATACCTTTGAATAGCTTTGCGTATTCTAAGTAAATATAGATATAAGTTAACAAAGTAATGTTTAGCCATGCTTTGTTTTGTTTTTGTTGTAAGCAAACAAGTTTTATTGGTGGAATAAGACCGAAAGTGCTAAACCATGCAAATTTCTAGTATGAAGGTACCTTTGTAGAACGTTATAATGTAAACATGTCTATTGTTTCTTCTGTATGTGTCCATCGGTGCACACCTTTTTGATAATGTACGCAACAAGTTAGAAAGATGGAGTCGGTTCGAGTTCTATATATATCTTAATTATATAAATCATGGTTACCTCTATAGTCATATTTTCCACACCAATTCTATCACCGAACCAAATCAATGTGTTGTTGACAAACTCCAGTATGATGATGAAAGACATGAGGAAGGCAACTACCTGCACAACAAGGGCAACACTCTGACGTATTCCGATAATAATTGCGTCCATTAAAGATTTTGGATGTCTGAAATACATAGTAATACATCGATATTCAAAATGGTATTTTAAGGATAACTGCTGTATATCAATCCATGTCAAATCTTTACTTTCATATGTTCTTAAATATGGACCCTTATGAGTATTTATCGTATCATTATTCATTTTGATTTTGTTTCCAGAGTTTATAAATAAATGTTTATTTCAAGTCTTTAAAATAACATAAATAAATGAAATTTTAAGAAAATGTCTTGACCTTATTGATACGAATATAAACCATAAGTTAATTGTCCTCAGATAGATAAAGACACCCAACCCAAAACCATTTGGTCGGGCCAGAAATGTTCAACCAGAGTTTAAACAAATAATTCAAATTTTTAAATGATTACTCCGGGAAACAAATATCCGCTACGGATAATAATCTTTATCACACATACAATGTTGAAAATAATAATAATTATAAAGTAAGACGGAGGGTTTGGGCCATATGTAATTTCGTTGACCTGCACTTCTATATCTTATGAATTTTCGTATAAAGTCCATAGAAAGAATAGAGATAGGAAATGTGAAAGGTCTAAGCACACATGATATATTTTACTTTGTGGTAGGAAATGACTGAAAATGTAATTAATTGTCATATAAATACATATATTTGATAATAGCTATGGTTGAAATGTTTACTGTACCTTAGTATAGCGACTTTCTTTTTATCATTATTGTCTTCTGCTGGAATAGGGACCTCTTCTTCATCATGTGAAGGAAAACACAATTTTGCCGCGGCAAGAGCTGCTGGTGCCGACATTGCTGAAGCAGCAACAAGTGGGGCAGCAGGAACCTGAGTCAACAGGAAATAGATTACGTAAGATTCTATTGCTTAGCTAGTCTATACTGAAATATTTAAGGCGTTAAAAACATAGGTACTCAGTTGAAATGCCAAGATACATTTAAAATTACAACACTAGAAAAAGAATTAAGGGTTAACCAGCGGAAAGATACATATTTATTTCACTCGAATAATATATCTAACTTTATATGAACACGGACTTTAAATATCAATTATTTTAATGGAATCAAAATAATTCATATTAATATTGCCCTTTATTTAAAATTAAGTCAAAAATGATATTCGTCTTAGACAAAATCATGTCGCCTGGTTACACAGTTTTCGCTATTCGGTGTCACATCTTTCCTGTTTCGTCTCTTTCCTGTTTCAGTGCAAAGATTGTAGTTATGTTCGTACGCCGTAAAACCAAACCAAACAAAAAACTTACGGTAAAGTGTGAAATCATGATACGTACCCCTGATGACATAAATATGATTAACGACACACCACCGACGGTTGCCATACCACCTGCATATGTCACGAACAACTGCGATGGCGTCATTTCCGGCAAGTATTCTTGTACCAGCATAATAGATTCAGGCTTAAAGAAGAATATAATTAAAGAAAAACACTTAAGTTTTTCATCGTTTATTATCATCAAAGTTAGTTGAAATCAATCTGAGGGAATATATACCTCAGGAGCTCTAAAACAAACAAAATATTGTTAAAAATCGCAGCCTATGCCTCATAGCAACGGCTTAATTGGCATTGATAGTGTTGGAAACGGTGATTTAATAGTTATCACTGAGTTGAAGAACTTGGCAATGGTTAACAACTGCCACACAACGTTTAAAACAACAAAATCTTATCTAAACTATTCTTGAAAATTTAGAAACCTACTTATTTTATTGTGCTTTTATATGTTTATTATTATGATAAGACGTATTTTGTGTATGTTTTAGGTTCGCATAAGCTTGCATATTTCGCAAATGTTTGACATAGGAACATTTATACAAACCAAAATTTCTTGATTCTTTGTCGTACAAAAACAATATTTTGAAATATATCTTTAAAACTAACTCCTTTGACGTAGATCAGATTCAAATTTACACGTTCATTTGAAGAAAATAAACATATTATGCAGCAAACTGAAGTCTTACTTATCAACATTTGACAGCAAGACATTGTGTCTTCCTCCCTTATTTGATGGTTAAAGTACCACACCTGCTAGTAATATGTAACACAAAAAAACAATGTATTTCTTCTTACCACGTGCAAAAACATATTGCCAACTGCGTTGATTCCTTCCGAAGGAGATGTTCCTATACAGAATGAAAGTGCTCTACCAAGGGTTTCTACAATGTACTTGATGACTCCAAGGTAGGTTAAAACGGACATGCCGATGATCAGTACAAAAACTTGTACCATTGACTGAAAGACAATCGAGATGAAACTGTATCCAAAAGAAATATGAAATAATAACACTTATTACATATTATACATGCATTTGCCGCATATTTATGACCATTCAAAATCAGAAGCATATTGTCTTGTGTTAATTAAATTAAATACCCTCTAACTTGAATGATTTTAATAATTACATTCTCCATTTGACGTGTTTGAAATTGCTTGCACTAACTTGCGTGCAAATTAATACAGTGCCAAAAAGTGTATTTTATGCTCTAAGTGGGGCGGCCAACCATAACTAAAGTCATGGTCAGGTAGTATTTTCATTCATTATCTTTTAAATACCGGTAGTTTATTACTTTTTAATTACTTTTGAAGCTCGTAAAGTGATTCCGCGTCTTGGAACAGTCGAAAATCCATCCCAATGCGATTTCACTTTCCAAAAGAAATACTGATCCGCCAAGACAACATTTTTATTTCGAGAAGAAGAAATGTTAATATACATACACCAAATGCAAATCTGTGGTCTGTATATGTTTTACCAAATATAAACACACTTCCAGCTTTTCCGTTTTCGACTAACGACTCGAGTCTAGCTCCGCACCACCGTATAACACTTGCTCCCCAACTCGTCTTCAAGATTAGTAATGCCATGATGAATTGAAACACCATCGACCAGTAAATAGTGTGCCAATTTACCTGTATTAGATTTAAAGTACATCATTTAATGCAAAATCAAAGTACATATTTATAAAGAAAATAAAAATGTTTAAACTGACTTTATTCAGTTTAACGCCTGGCTGAGATAGATTATGTTTATTAAAGATTATTCAAAGATATGTTATTGCAATTTAAGAAGCTGTTTGAAGCGTATCTTAAAGAATGTAAATATATGTATGACATAAATTTTATGATTAAATAGCTTCAGTTAAATGTACTTTATATTAGCTATTTCTGGTTCAATACACATGTCATGGACAAAAGTATATTTTCTTTCCCATTTTGCTTCACATCTCAAAATTTTACAGCAACTACATGCCATTCGGTCTTTTTACTTTTTTGTCTAAACCACCGCCACGAGACATCATTTATAAAATTTGTTGTCATTACTCGAAGAGATTTCTAACGAAATCAATAATGATGACTAAATTAATTTTGTGCATGGTTTTTTTTAATAAGTTAATTAGATACTATAATAATATAATAAGATACTTATATACATTTTAAAGGAAATCTATTGAGGTTTGTTTTCACATGAAGGGACTTAGAATATGCTTTCATGACTTGTGTGCCATTTGATGTTGGTTGGAACAAATAACAATCGCACAAAAATTAAAATCATTACTTCGCTCCGTACTTGCAAAATACTCATTTTTACTTTGCAAAATGACCACAAATGACTCCAACCGGGCTATAAATCGTCCAAAAAATCAATTTTCAATTAACTCTGAGTGTATAGCTTTATTTAGTTCTCCTTTTTAAATGCATAACCTCAAAGGAGCTCATTTGAACAGGTCATTTTAGATGGCATAAACGAAGTGATTGGTAACACATATGATTCAATACATTTGATGATCCAAGATGTTTCTATAAATATTTATTAATAATAAAATTTGTTCAGATAAATTTGACAAGATAAAGTATTTTAAATCATTCTTACCTTCCGTTTATTATTAGAATACAGAAACAATAAAAAAGGAAAAACAAAAAGTCCAATTAACGATCTGTGATTTTCCGGTGTCTTTATGGCCACTAACAGTATCAAATATACAACCATAAATACTGTCATCGCAAGATACAAAAGCCTGAAAAATAAAGGAAAACAATAAAATGTGCTATTATTGTTTGAATTTAAAACATAAATACAATCATTGCAAAATTATTTGCCTATTCAATACGAAAACGTATTGAATTATAAACACAAAATATAAATCCATTAAAGTTTAATTTATAAAATCAAAACACAGATCTTGTGAACAAATGCAATCCAAAGGAGAGACCGAACATGGCCTTAATAGAGAAGTGGTCTTTATTTGGACGTCATTTTGTCCTATTCAGTCAAAAAAGGTTTGTCAAAAAATGGTGTGTATTTTAATCGGAGAAGGTCTTTCACACAGGTTTAACTGTAAATGTATTGTAGGTAAAAATATTAATGTACCATCTGAATATCACGCGGCGCTTCCCTCTCGAATATTCGGCAAACAATTTGCTGACAGATGCTGAGAAATTGGCATAACATTTTGTCCTTTTCAGTACGCCCCAGCATACTATCCATACTCCTAAAGCTGTACACCAAACAAGTCTCCAAGATCCCTCATCACCGATATGATAGGCTAATGCAAAACCAAAATATACAAAATAACCTAAAATCAGCACGACTTTTCCTAGTAATACAATATTATCGAAATTGACGTCAACGCACGTTTTTATTTTCCGTGTTATGTTTATCAGATGATTGGTTTTGATAGAGAATTTTAACGTTCTATCTCTAGATATGCCGTTTTTCTGTTCGGTTTGATGACAATTTGTGCCCCTCACATCCTCGTCATGGTCAATTGTGGCTGTTACCGTCGGAATCTCAGTAATAACCTCTTGTAACTCCATTTCTGATTGTTTTTGATTCACTTGCACAAAATCACGGCATGCATTGCTAATTTATATAAATACACGCGACAACTGTTTTACAAATGTTTACTGCGGTAAACATCGTTGTACATAAATAAGAAAGGTAAACCTAACAAACATATAGGTCAGTCATTTACATATTATTTATCATTTGTAACAGTTTCATGTTACAGTCATGACCGCGGGTACTCCATACTTATTCACATAATTACAAAATTAATACGCATTTACGTCCGAAACAATTTTATTTTGATAAACACATACAACACGCATTTCAAAAGTGAAATTATCACATGTAGGGTTCGAATGACATTTACAATATTGTAACGATTTAATGAATAGGTGTATTTTGCCGAATAGTTAATATGGAAAGCGAAATAATGCATACCGTATTGTATCATACATTATGTGAATGTTGGGGGAGGTATCTCAAGCATTACATCAGTTGGATAAACATAGCAGTACATTTTATGTACTTAACACTTTTATTTTGTCTTAAGCCAAATAAATTAAAATAAAGTAGAACAATGAATGTTTGATATATCATAACACAAACTCTTTTTAGATTTCTCGCTCATTTTGTAAAATGATGCAATAAACTTTAATAAATTTAGAAAAGAAACTTTAACCATTTCGTTTGAAATGGCACATTCATTGTATGAGGTAACTTCAATTGGATACACAAATCAGACATGGTAAATCTGTTGGGAGATTTAATTGTGAGAAATAAAACATGTTCAAATAAAATATTTCAGTCGATATAGACGACTGTCATAGATACGTGATATTATGAATGCACTATCATACATAAACTTATATTTAATTTACCTCAATGGGCATGCAAATCTTTCAATCTGGATTAAACCATTCATCATTTGTAGGGAAAATATCTTGGCCAGCGATTATAAACGGTAACAAAATGTTTAACCGATATGTTTTAGGTACGATACTTGCCTTTATATTCTGAGTGGATTGTCCATTATGCCACAGAAACTCTTTTATTATTATTTTTGAAAGCCTTTTTTTATTTTTAGTGCAGTATTACATTTTCCATAAAGTTACTCATTTCCCACTTTCCAATACCTGAACCCTCTTTTGTAGCTGTTGCCTTTTGACTAATACATTTAGTACAGTTATAGTGATTTATTATTTTGTATGGAAATCACAATCCATAATCAATCAAATTGAAGTGAAATGTAAAGGTTACAATAACATAGTATGTAACAAGCAAATATATTAATACATTCTTATTGCAAAGCTTGATCAGCTGATAAATGAGTTACATTGTAATCATATAACCAAGGATTGCCTACATTTTTTCTGGGGTTTACTTAATGTGGCGATTAAGAAAGGGATAACGACAAGGATACTTCTTTTCTGGGGCATCACGCGCAAATCAGCCTCGTGTTTCGATGCTCTTTTTATTACTTTTTCTGGGCTTTACTTATTGTGACGATATGGAAAGGGTTAAAGGCCAGATGCTCGTTCATTGGTTATTCTTTTTCCGGGGCATCACGTGCTAATCAGCCTCGTGTTTCGATGCTCTTTCTACTACTTTTTTGCTTACGAGGATTAACCAGCAAATAAGACTTTATTGACAAAAAGGTGCAATAAGGAAAAACCAAATAGTGCTTTTACTATGTCACTTTATTGATTATTTATCTCAAACTGTTGACATAAATCCAAAATCAAATTAAGCTGACTATACATTTATATGCATCATTATTGAATCCGTCCTGTTTAAATAGAAATGAAAAAAGCGAATCTTTAATACGTAGAGACGTCTTCTTCATACAACAACCCTGCAGCGAGAAAGGAAAATATATACAATGTGACGACGTTGCGACATAAATTATATTCAATTCAATTAAGTTCTAAACTTTATTGTCTGAGTTATAGTTAACAATTTATCACACACCCGGGCCGATTTTGCGACTCCGTAAAACCGGTATTGCACGGTCGTGCATATATTTTGACGTCACGTCATTTGCGTTATACAAACATAGCGTTTAGACGCACTAAATGTGAGCGTTTTACTACAGGCGCTTCAATGAAAAACTTAATTGGTCTTTATTTTTGGTATGTGATAAATAGAAAATTAAATTCGTTTAAGTTCATTACTAAATTTATTGAACTCGTTAAATGAAATAATATGCTCGCCAGAGGCTTGCATTATATAATTTTATTCAACTCGTTCAATAAATTCAGTATTTAAATTTCACTTATTCAATATCTCATTCATTATTTCATTCAATATCTCATTCAATACCTCATTCCACTCATTCAATATCTCATTCAATATATAAAGACATGTGAACGTATACAATCGTCAAATTAGAAGGAGTATTAGACGAAAAGTGTTAATATATAGAGGATATTTGTTTGTTTGTGTGTAAGATGAAATTTTATTTCATCGAGTGGGCTTTAAAAACAGTATTCTCACGAGTGGCGTAGCCACGAGTGAGAATACTGTTTTTAAAGTTCACGAGATAAAATAAAATTACATCTTACACAACAAACAAACAAATTTTCTTTTTATTTTATGCTAAAAACAAGTTTAAACGAAATTTCCATAATATTAACATAAATATTAAAATCTGTTTCCCCATTGAGAGCCCCATTTCGTGCGAATTTCTCATTAAAAACAAGAAGTCTTGAGCTGAAAAATAAGTTCGACAATCAACATTAAATGACAGTGATATTATTTATTTTGTTTAAAAAATATGAATGATCGCTTGTTTTAATAATAAAAACAAACAATTCGTGCAGGAGAAAATTCCAACCATCCATCCATATTTCTGTTACTTACTGCGAATTTATATTAGACCTGGCTTTGTTAAATGTAATTTTTAAAGTTGTGTATTTCACGGGAGGAAATTAATTGTGTTTGATTCAGAGGGATATCATTTGGAATTGTTAGTCATACACCTTTTTAAAAGAAAGAAAACATATTTGAGGATTGAAACAGACAAAAAATAAGTGTTGACAAATGTGAAAACATGAAAAAAGCAGCTATGAAAATGGAAGACTTGGAACTTGCTCGGAACGCTGGGTGGTTTACTTGTTCTACGAGCTGTAGCTGTCATTGCTTTTCAAATTTTCATAAAGCATACGGCAGTTATTACTCGTAGGATACTTTAATATGCCCAAATGTCATCAAGAGCAGTTTGCATGTGGAAGGAATGTATTTTTCAGACTGTAAAAATGAAACAAAATATTTAGAGACGAAATGTGGTGATTGGAATGTGAATGAATAGAAGTAAGTTTTCTTCTTTTTATTACTTTTGACGTTTAAGGTATTTATCAATTTCAGCTTTGCTTTTTCTTTAAACAGCCTGACATTGTCAGAATTGTCAGCAAAAATAAAATTGAGGTACCACATGGGGAAAATCTTAAAAAAGTAGTTTCGTCATTGAAAAAAGTGAAATTATATTTTGATAATTTTCACTGTGGAATTACCAAATATAATTTTCACGGATAAATCAGTAATCCACTGAAAAGCATAAAATAAACTGTATTTTTATTTAAAGTGACGTAATGTTCATTTTTTTTCAAAATATTTACTGTTATTATGGTGATTGACTGTTGATGCTGGAGAATGGTTAGAATAAAATATTAATCTTTCTAAAATATCAAAAGACTGTCCCAGTCTTTTTATCAGATGAATGTTACAGGTAATTTCCAATGGATACTTATTGGACAACGTGAATTATTTATCGTTCATGCAAAAATTTAAAAGGAATTATGGCAAAATGCAAGCTTATTTTGACTTTCACCTGTTCACTCACTAAATACTATTTGATGGGCATAATGTCTTATGTTTGATGATTGGCAGGTATTTATTTATACATCGTCAGGCTAGCTACATGTAAATTGATTCGACTCATATAAATCAATAATACAAGAATGTTTCTTTAGATATGCACGTGATTAAAGCGACATTATGTTCATACAGGAGTGAAAATGCGAGTCAAAATAAGTTTACATTTTGCCATAACTATTTTACTTCGCAAGAACGATAAATAAATCACGTAACCAGATTATATTTCTGTAAACATACATCGGAATTTACCTACACTCCAATTTATAAAAGGAGTGGACATTCTTTTTATATTTTAGGCATATTTATATTTTATTCTAAGCATTTTCCAATATCAAGTGTTTGTCGATCAACTGTCTTTTTTTTTTAAATATATAACAGTCAATTCAGCTGCACTTGACAATGAAAATATGAGCATAGTGTCACTTAAAGTACTGCATTTTGTGAAAGATAACAAACACTACACTAAGTGTAAGGATCACCAAGGGACAGCAACATATGTGAAACTCAACATTTCCCATCACTCCCAGTTTACCAGACACACAGGAAAGGCACTGCACTATTGGAAGATAGAAGATGCACATAGACAGGACAGGAAATTTATAACACAACAAACATGTGGAGTCGGATAAGGTTTAAATTGGGATACACCATCGGAGCGGGAAGGAAATATAAAAAAATGAAGAGGAAAATTGTTGTGGTGTGGAGGTGTATACAAAAGGCAAATAACGGCATGAGAGTAACCTTTATGAAGTTTTAGGCAAATATGTTGTAATACCTGCGAAACAAGCTGTGAGATAACTCGCTATTGTCCCCACGATCATTGCACGAATGATATGCTGGGTTACCTCCTCTATCCTGTCTGGTAACATAACACCATATGTCCCTAGAATCAAACCCATGACGGCAAACGAGGCTGAGCCACACAATGCGTATGTAGCAATTATTTCTGATCTTTGCTAATAAGAAAATAACAGCGTAAACGTCTTTTATACCACATATACGCGTACAAGCATCATTTATGCTAAGTGAAATAGATGTGTTGGACATCATGAAAATGGCAAATTTTTGGAGATCTTCTTAATAAGAATAATAAATAAGAACATGCTTTTCTGTTTAGAATTTTAATCTATACAAATAAATCAATTGTAATTACAAAATAATCAACTTCAAAAAGTAAAAATATACAAATTGTTTTAAACAAAAAGCTAAATGTGCGAAAGAATAAACATTACAAACATGTATTTCTAGTTGATTCTCGCCATATTTCAATGAATATGTAGAAACTTTATATTATGATATTATGAATTCAAAACTTCTTTTGGCGGGAAAATATCTTACATCAATAATACCACCGACTAACGTCTGGTTCAGTTCGTTCAGTACAATATCATTTCCAACAACTGTCCAAGTGTTGTTTACACCACCGGCAATATATTCCCGATATTTAACCCCATTCTGAAACAAATATGTATAATTATATCATATGACATACGAGAACCAATATATTTTATTTATTTGAATTCTGCTTAAGTCGGTGCTAGGGGGCTTGGACAGTAGCCTGCGCTTTCCATTACCGTCCATGAACAGGCTCAATCAAACCGAGTTAGCAACATTTTCAATTTATTTTGTCGTTTTCGACTTTCTTTAGAGATTATTTTTTTCTGTATTTTGTAAAACAGTGAAAAATAGAAACATAGAAACTAGAGTTACCTGAATTATTTGACCTAATTTAGGAAATGCCACGACAGCAAGACTAATTGTCCTCACACCCAAAATTTCCCCGATAAATAAACAATCAGCTGACTTTGCTCCCATCATAAACGCAAACGGGTAGAACACATACGAAAACAAGAACTGCAAAAAACAAAATTTGAAAACATTATTTATCAACCTGCAGAAAGACAGAACAATACATAGTTCGTTTTAAAATAAATTTTCTCTCTGTTTATCTTCTGGGGATTTGTTATTGTAAATTAGATGTTGAGCGAGCCTTTACATTGACTATTTTTACATTAATTTAACAAATTTATGTATCTGCAAAATGACAAAGCATTCCAACCTGACAATTCTGAAACACATTTCACTCTGCTTATCTAGAGGAATTTTGTTATTGCAGACAAGATATTGAACCATGACTGTATTTTACATTGACTAAAATTACCTCAAGCGTCATGTTTTCTACGCCTATTCTTTCGCCAAACCATACCGACGTGCTGTTAAGAAATGCCATGATGATGACGAAGGCCAGAACGAAAGCAACAAACTGCACAATAATCGTAGTGCTCTGACGTATTCCTGTTATGATCGAGCCTAACAAAGACGTCGCTGCTCTGAAAATAGACGTTTATGCATCTATGTAGCATATAAGTCCGAAAGAAAAAGCTGGAAAAAAGGTATTGGTGAAGAAAACAAACCCTTTTATTGTTTCATTGTTAACATCTGTTTCAACACAATGCAGATCATATAGTTGCAAAACTTTCCTATGACATCAATTTTAAGTCAAATGCATCTTTCATTTAATGATTTTAGCTATTACTGGTTACAGTAAATCAATATACTCTTACAGACTCTTTAGTCTCTGAAATGTATGTGCGCTCATGCTTCAAAAAATGCTTCAGATTTCCGGCAAGCACCTAGACATTTAATAATAAGTATCAAAAGAATTTCATATTTGAAGAATGTATAACCTTGATATAGTGGAATTGTTTATTTCCACATCATTAGCAGTTCGTACCAAAACCTCTTCCCCGTTGTGAGAAGGAAAGCAGAGCTTACACGCAGCCAAAGCCGCTGGGGCCGACATTGCTGAGGCGGCAATCAGAGGGGCTGCTGGAATCTGATTTGTAAACATATTAGAGACGGTAAAACGGTTTAATCAGCAGAAGCTTATTCAACCTTTTAACAATATAGATAACACAAGAGCTTATAAATCAACATTGCCATATCAAGATAAGAATTCGCCTTGGGTTGTTTATAATGCGTTTACAGATGTTGCAACCATTATTTTAACAGATTCAGATGTTGCTACTAAAAGTGAAACCGATTCATATCTTTAAACAGTGTTAAACCAATAAAATGACAATAAAAAGACATGCAGACGAACATTTTTCAAAGTGCATGTTTAACATACAACAGGCAATGAGAATGAAACATATTGTCAGTGAAAATAAAACAACAACAATAATCATGATCATTAAGATGTTACAAAAGTGATATAGGTTTATAATTACCCCAAATGCCATGAAAACTACCAAAGACGTGCCGCCAACTGTCGACAAGGCTCCGGCATATGTCGCAAACAATTGAGAAGGCGTCATTTCTTGTAGGTACTCCTGCACTAAAATTGCTGACTCAGGCTTGGAAAAAAATGTCATAATATTTCATTAAATCAAATCACGATGAAGCATTTTTATTTTTGTTCAAGTTTCTTTCAGAAAATAATAGCTTTGGAAGGAAGTACCGTACACAGTCATTTTGCTGTATATAAACGGAATATGATGCCGTACGTGTGGTATCTTTCTAAGGTTTTGTATTGCACAAAAGTCCTTTCTCACCTCTGCGAGTAATAAAATACATGGCATTAGCAAGCTATTACAATGTAATTTTCCTTTCGTGTTATATACATATACATATAAATCTTAAGACAATCTGAAACTCGATTTTCTGACCTTTTAAAAGATATTTGACAAATAGAATGCTAAGAAATAAAATTTACGAAAGGCGGATGGATACTCGTACATGACCTATGCCAAAAATACCACGTCTTTTATTGTATCAGTTTCCGTTTCCAAATACTACATAACGCAACATTCAAGATCGGAATCAACGAAGGAAAATAGTCTGGCACGTCCATATATGGAACCGTATTTGTTTCTAACATATACGGATTTTTCACAGCGTTCAAGCGCCTGAGTACTTTATGATTCTGCGTGTACTTTAGGGTCAACTTTATAGGTATATGATAATATAAGTTATAACGATGTGCGACAGGTAATTGTCCTGGTATCAGTGGTTCGAATTATACATAAAAAATAAAGGTTGATAGGCGACAGACTTTCATGCCATTATGCTGTGTAAAACCTTATAATTCCTTTCTTTGATTAAATGAAAACTATGCATACATTGTCGGAATCCGCGTACATAAATTATAACGATTTGTACGGTGTAACAAACGTGCAGTATCATAGCGTTTTCGGATACTCACGGCTGATTAACCACCTGGATTAACATGTAACATAACATGTAATGTTAATGGTTCGGCAGTGGGTATCTGGCGACATATTATAGCTTGATTGAATGTCTTTTGGACAATTATGCATTGTATAAGCGCATTTTATTGGAAAAAATGTAGAGAAATACATTAAAAAATGCAAGTGATATAAAGTTTTTTAGAGCTCATTGTACCTAGGTTTTAACTAATTGAACTATTTCATACCACATGCAGGAAAATATTCCCAACAGCATTAATTCCCTCGGCAGGACTTGTTCCAAGACAGAATGCCAGGGCACGTCCGACAGTGTCCACAATCGCCTTGATAACACCGAGGTATGTCAGCACGGATATTGCGATGATGACGACACAGATTTTGGCCGTAACCTTAAAACAGAAATATCCAAATAAGATATGGTTTTCAGTCCATGTTAAATATTACATAATATTAGATACTATGCAAATCCGGATGTTAAAATTGCTTGCTTTAAATGTAAAGAAAATAAGGCTTTCATAAATTTTGTTTTACCTTTGACGGTTTTGTTTGTTGTCCCAGAGAAAAAGGCCAAACTAACAGTGAAAGACAGTTTTTGATAGATATGAAAGTCGGCAGTTTTTTACAAATCATATACATTTACAAATTATATGCTTCCAGGGCCTGAAGTCTTTTGACGTGAAGGGACTGGATTAAATTTTAGAGACTTGTGTATCGTTTGGTATAGGTCTGAACATGTAACTTTTGCGGAAAATCCAGATAAATCCCTCACTCCGTTTTCACAGAATGATTACACATATGTATTTTTATTAAGCAAATTAACTAAAAAATTAAAAGCTCAAACCGGGCTAAAAATTGTGGGGAAAAATACCCCCATCCTATTTCTTTTTATCATTTGCAGATTTTTCCATCTCCAGATTTCTGTATTTTCTAGATCGTTGCACGTTGCATACTCTTATCTTGAATGACATCTTTTTTTCGTCAACAATGTATTGAAAATCAAACTTTTATTCAAATGTGTTATTCAAATGAAAACTTACACCAAATACAAAATAGTGATCTTTATAAGTTTTTCCAAACAGAAAAATACTTCCAGCTTCACCATGAGCCAGTAGCTCTTCTACTTGTTTGCTAACCCAGCGGATAACGTTAGCTCCCCAACTTGTCTTCAAAATCAACAACGCCATGATGAATTGAATAGCCATGGCCCAGAAAACGGTGTGCCAATTGACCTTGCAGAAAATAACATTTAAGGAAAGAGTAGTATTCTTAGTAGTGTATCTTTTTCGCAAAATAAGGAATCATTTTGAATTAAGTTTACTCCCGATCAAATTCTTACAATATGGTATATAAACATTCTGAATTAATGAGCAGATAAATGCCAAATAAAAGAAATAAAATATGCCGAAGAATGTATTGGATATAGATCAAAACATGTGGAAGCATGCCGGAAGATGTATTGAAACATGCCAGATGATTATCGAATATTGAAGCATGCCGAAGATGTATCGAAAAAGCCGCATTAAAGAAATGAAATATAATGCAAATCAAAATAAGCAAAATATCGTAAATTAATCGTGTAGCTTACCAAATTTATGAATTCTAATAAATCAAATGTCAAATTAAAGGGCAGAAGAATGCTTAGTTTAAGTATTAAAGGATGCATAGTTTAAATATTGAAACGTGCCATATTTTAAAGAAAGTATTTGAAAAATAATGCGATATTAGGCGCTAAAAAATGCTATGTGAGGTACATGTAAGTGAAACAATCCAAACTTTAACAATACAAACTTTTATAGCTTTCTTTGTGCTTGGTACGTCAAAAAAGTCACTTTTTTCAGGAACAAGAACGGGTAGGAGAACGTTTGTGTAATGGACATTTTTGAATTAGAACTTACTTTACATTTATTGTTGGAATACAGGAACAATAACAGCGGGAATCCTAGTAATCCGATTAATGACCAAAGGTTTTCTGGCGTCTTCATGGCAACAGCTATTACCAAGTATATGACAAAGAAAGCAGACATCGCAATGTACAAGGACCTGTTGAATATAACATATCTAATCTAATAAATGACAATATAAACACATGCAATCGATGATAATTTTTCTTTGTTTTGTAATTGTTGCGTTTTTTATTTTGTCTGCACAACTCCTCAATTGATTGTGTTTTTACTTAAGAAAATATAAGTTTCCTCTATATCAAACATATGTTCGTGTTCACATGTGTGCACAATTAAAGAATACAAAACATCTGAGCCTTGTGATACAAGTTTTATGATCAATTAAACGCTTGAATCATTTGTAAGAATTTATAAACAAGAGCGATCACATGTATCGCCTGATGATAGCCAATTGGATATTTATTCAAGAACCATAACTAAGCAAAAGTCATTCAACCGGAAAACCCGTTTAATATGCGTAAGTACTTGTATTCTGCGGGAGTACTAAAGCTACCAATCAATCCTGAAAAATTTAAGAAGTCCGGACAATTTTTGTGACGGACGGACGGACAAACAGACTACGGAGAAGTGATCCCTATATGAGGCCACTTCTCTGTAGAGGCGACACAAAAATGCACATACAATATATAAAAGAGCTTACCATCTTAAAATCACGCTCCGATTACCTTTTGAATATTCAGTGCAGATCGCTTGAAAACCGGAAGTCAGTTTTAAATAAATGCCTGACCTTTTAAGAAAGTTCCGGAAAATGATGAGAATCCCGCAAATTGTACCTCCGATCAACCTCCAGGACCCTTCATCACCAAAATGATAAGACAACGCGAAGCCAAAATATACAAAATACGCAAGAAGCAACACGACTTTTCCTAGAAAAATGAATTTGTCCGAGTTCGCTTCAAGATATTTTATTTTTGCTCCTGCAGCCTTCGAAAATTTGCTCTTACTTTGAAAAAAATTCAAGTTAATGCCGGATCCTTCCTTGGCCTGTTGTTTTGTCAACTGAATTCCAGACATAGTTTTACCTTTGTAATGTTTAACCACTTCAGTCGATGGATATTCCTTTTTAATGTCGTTTAGTTCCATATCGCACTGTTTACAGTCTAAACAAATTCTTAATCAAAACTGTTATTCATACATGTATGCTTTAATTGTGCGTGTCTCGGAACAAGTATAAAAAAATCAATGTTTTAATTAGATTCATTTGCGTATATAGTATTAAACTCCCGATCAATTTTTTTATGTTATTGTTTTACTTTTTTTACGAGGTAAATGAAAAGTAAAAATAACGAAAGAATTAAAAAAAAATGTTTTTAGACCATTAATCGACACGTTGAGTTCATGTGTCTTAGACGTACGATATAAAAATAAGGCGAAGCTAGATGTGTCACCTAGTTATGTATCAGAAGTTGTAAAAACATATGTTACTCTCATTAAGTATTTTAAAAAATTGATCGTCTGAAGAATTTAAATGAAATATATGCCACATATGATACGAAATATGCTCAGAATTTATGTGTTATTCTAAGTGCGATTTGAGTTATTTAAAGCGTTACTAAGCTTTTTAAATCATTTTGCATGATTAATATTATAGCTAATCTGGAGAAAGAAAATAAGCAAATGATCTGAAATTTTGCAAACACGTTATAGGTCAAGTCAATTCTATAACAAATTGTTTTACAAATCTATTCAGTTTGGCATTCTACATGTATCCAGAGGGGACAAGAGTCAAACTTTTGAGTGATTTATTTCGCTTTTTGCATGACTTTACTACAAAAACATAAGTACATACCCAATTCTAAGAGGGGTTTGAAATACTAACAAAATCCTCTAACCACAACTTCTCCGTTGGATCGTGAATTGGACACATGTAGATGATGCCATTTTATCATGTTGTTTAACCTTCATTCAGAATATTCTTCACGCTATTTAACGTTAGATAATCTTTAATGAAGACTACCAACAGCATGTGGCACCACTGAAAAAAGCTCTTGAGATCACACTCAACAAGGCCCCCATCTTTTTTTAAACATACTAGTATTCAGTATGTGCGTTGGCGTGGCCGAATGGTTAACAAACTTAAAGTAATCTAATGACAGCATGGGTTCCAACCCCGTCAGGGGCAAACCGTTGTTTCCTTGAGCAAAACAAAAATAAGCTCATTGCTTAGTATACTGGTTGGTTCCAGGAACGGATTCGAGAGTGTTTTTCAATAAGCTTAAAACTCTCAACAGTGTTTATGCAGTGAATGGAAGGCATATACTATTAAAGAAAATTGACAAATTTTGTTTTTAATTTACTATCAATTTCTTGAGTTTTATTTTAAAAATAATTATATAAACAAAATATAAATACAAATCAAAGGGTGCAAAAAAGTAGGTCTAATAAAGAAATATAAACTAAAATTTTAGAATTATAATAGTTCTGTCCCGTTAAAGAAAGAATATGCTTTTTACAATATCCAGAAGTAAATATAGGAATTCAATAGCAAGCTATACTGCACATTACTGTAAAGCATGTAAGTTATGCATGTCCTTTTTCTATGTTAATACGTAGATACGTCTTCCTCGTGTAGCAGTCCTGCAAATACAAAACAGGTAAGAAAAGTTAAATATTATACTTGATTACATACTTATAAAGGAAATATTAATGAAATAAATATATATGTATTTTCAATGTCCGTATTTTCACTGTAAAAATTTATGTTTCATTACATATTTTCCATATATTCACCGGTATCTTGCCGGAATACTTTCCAATAAACAAAATTTAAGGGATGTTTTTCAAATATTAAAACAGAGAGAAAAATGTATAGGACAAACAGAAAATTCAAATTTTTCAAAAAATACATAATTGGTTTTCATCTTGTGCGAAAAATATTACATTTCACTCGTGGCTACCGTCACTCATGAAATATTCAACCTGTAATCCTTTACAAAAAAAATCCTTGAATATCCTTTATGTAGTGTATATAAGCCACAAAGATATAAATAAAGTATTTTATATTATTGTTTAATGTTTGCGTTTTGTTGTTTTTACAGTCTCTTTGATATTTATTACTTCAGCTTTTGGGTATAAGGTCATTCATTCATATTCATAATCCATCTTTCACTTTCTATGCTAATGGAATTATGAATATTGTATGAATACTGTATATAATGATACAAGGGGTCCAGTAGAAATCAGTTAAAGATTATGTTTAAATTATCAAAAGATATTGTGTTCTTATCAACAATAAATGGTTGATGTGGATTCTAACTAGAGTTTGCTTATGGTGGATTACCTCATATGGCTCACCACTGTACATATGATTCGTTTCATATGAATCAATAATACGAGACATGCACAATAATAATAGTACTCTATCGGTAGTGAGGTCTTATCCAGCATAGAATTAGAGAAAGATATCTTGTTAAATGAAAACTTTAAAAAATGAAATAAAGAACAAAGGAGAGTATCGTTAAAAAAACTCACTATCCCCACCCAAGATCCACTCATGCAAAATCAGACCACTCGCACGCGCACGCAAACACGCGCACGAACACACTTAAATGGTACTTTGTCGGGCAGCGCATATAGTATTGAGGTATTGTGCACACAGGGCAGGACAGGGAATGATTACCAAAAACTTGAACCGCAAAAACATTAAACATTAAAAAAAGATCAAATTGGTGCACATCATATATGTATGAAGTAAAAGGGAGACAAGGAAGGAAACCGTGAAGGAGAGTTACAAAAGGCAAAATAAAGAGGGAAAAAGAGAACACACTCATAATGTTTCTCAGATTTACAGAAAAAATATTGATACCTGCAAAACAAGCTGTGAGGTAACTCGCTACTGTCCCCACGATCATTGCCCGAAATATATACCGAGTTATCTCTCCTATCCTGTCTGGTAACATAACACCATATGTCCCTAGAATCAAACCCATGTTTGCAAACGAGGCTGAGCCACACAACGCGTATGTAGCAATAATTTCTGATCTGTGCTATAGAAGAGAACAGCACAAAAAAAGAAAATGTCACATATGGCACATATAAGTTATGAGAAGTTTTGACTATGTTGGCTATCATACAAAAGAAGTCAATTTTATGTTTTTAAATAATGTTACCTTTGGTCAACAAAACTATTTGCAGATTATTTATTGTTGATTTATTCATATGGATAGACTAACTACAAAACCGTCATATTTTAAAAATGTGTTTTTTGTTTCAAAGTCATTTTTAAAAACAATAACACCGATTTGCTTCGTTTTAATATGCATATACATATCTATAAAAAAATACAAAGTTTCGTTTTGGCGGGAAAATATCTTACATCAATAACGCCACCGACTAACGTCTGGTTCAGTTTGTTCAGTACAATATCATTTCCAACAACTGTCCAAGTGTTGTTTACACCGCCGGCAATATATTCCCGATATTTTATACCATTCTGAAAATATATATATATGAGCCGCGTCACGACAAAACCAACATAGCGGGTTTGCGACCAGCATGGATCCAGACCAGCCTGCGCATCCGCGCAGTCTGATCAGGATCCATGCTGTTCGCTTACAGACCCTGTAACAATTAAGTAAAGAAACTGTAAGCGAACAGCATGGATCTTGTTCAGACTGCGCGGAATGAAATTTCAGAAGTTGTAAAGCTTTTTCAAATTATTGTTATAAAAAGAAACAACAATAAAAAACATGGTATTACAATAAACTTATAGATATACAAAGTTGTGTCATTCAGAAAGCAGAAATGGTAATCAGTGAGACACTGCACAGAAACGAGGTAATTATTGCACAGAAACGAGGTAATTATTGTCAATTTTATTATATCTATAGGAATTTTAGATTGAAATGTTCGCTAGATAATAACATATAAATGAATTAATAATAACTAAAGTATGAAAAACAAGATCAACCAAGAAGGGAGGCATTCAATGCATTTCCAACACAACCCATCAATACAGGCCCATCGGCGAGGAGCCCAGTCGCACATAAACAAAAACAGGAGAGCACAACGGCAAAGTAAAAGTAACACTGATATAAAATCACGGCACACAATATATATTGATATAAAACAACGATGTTTACCTGAATAATTGGGCCTAATTTAGGATATGCCACAATAGCAAGACTAATTGTCCTCACACCCAATAGTTCCCCGATAAATAAACAATCATCTGACTTTGCTCCCATCATAAACGCAAACGGATAAAACACATACGAAAACAAAAACTGCAATTGAAATAGTCTGTTGAGCTGATCAATTTGTCTCATAAACATGTTAACCGTTTAAGGCTAACGGAAACAATAAGAATGAAAGTTCCCCAATTGAGGACAGCAAAGAAGTGACTTCTCAGCTGAAATTTACAATTATAATGTATTTCAATGGTTTACTATAATGGTAAGTCAACCTATTACATGTATTATATTTTTTTTTTCTGTACCAGAGAATATTGTGAGCAACTCTTTTTTTCTTAGAAATAAAAATTGCTTTATTTTACTTTTTAATTTTCTAAAGTTATGGACTGATTTCTTTTATTCTTTTACAAACTGTTTTATCATGACTGTCCTTTATATATATGTATTGATTTTCATGCGCACCTCAAGCGTCATGTTTTCTACGCCTATTCTTTCACCAAACCAAACAGACGTGCTGTTAAGAAAGGCCACGATTATGACAAAAGCCAGAACGAATGCAGCCAACTGAACAACGATCGTAGTGCTCTGACGTATTCCAATGATGATGGACTCCATCAATGATGTCGCTCGTCTGAAAATACACTTTTTATTATTACAAGAAAGAATAACAAATAAGTAACAAAACTGAGGCATTTCCTAAAAGTCTTTATTAAATCATATGATTTACAACTCTGGTACATATCTTTTATCCCGCTAAACACATTCACAATTAAATAGTGATAATATATTTAACCAGTCATATTGCTCAGTGTTTCGTTGTTTATCTCATACATTGGAACACTTGTCTCTCACCGATGTAAGTTCGAGTACGCAAGCGTCTTCGAATTCTATCATGTGAGAAATCATTTCAGCTAGCTTACGGAGCGTCGGTGATTCTACTCGGGTGCCCGTTTGTGCCTGAAATAATGTACAGAGGGGCACCTGAGGTATTCCTCCACCAGTTAAGCCGGAAAGTTGCCATATGATCTATACTGTGTTGGCGTGACGTCAAAAAAAGGTATATCGGATTCAGAATTTGATTTAGCCGAATTCGTGACTATAAAGTCGTTTAAAGTTTTTATCCTCTATATATCTTACAATAAGCTATACATGTATTTATGATGTACAGATCCTTACATTATTAAATATAGCCATTTCCATAGCAATTAATATACATTATTTAAACAAAGTAAAACAAATTGTTATTCAACATTACAATTTGCTAGAAAATATGCTTGAGTACATATTTGAAACTATGCACAAGCGGAATTCGTCAAGGTACCGAAGTTAAATATGTTTTTATGGTTTGAAACTCATCGCGCACACGCTGGAAACTATGCAAACTTTTTAGACAGGGTTAATGGATTTTAATTATCTTAATATGCAGACAAGAGTAATGCAACTGTTTAAACTTGCAGTAACTTGCATACCTACCTGGTGGAGAAAGCACTAGTGTTTATTTTAACATCACCAGCAGCCTGTATTGCCACTTCTTCCCCGTTGTGAGAAGGAAAGCATAGCTTACACGCAGCCAAAGCCGCCGGTGCCGACATTGTTGAGGCGGCAATCAAAGGAGCTGCTGGAATCTAATTTTGACGAATAAAAGTTGTGGAGTTATACAAAGACGTTGACACTTATTTCAAAATTTAAATAAAACAAAGAACTAGTACATGTCATTTAACAGAAAAGTATCTGAGGCCGGCATTGTGATATTCAAACAAAGATTCGCCAGTATAACACCGATGTTAAAGCCAGTTTTGTGACAATCATACATTTTTCAACAATTAAATCTTAACCGCTATTAGCAAAGATTCTAAACGTCTTGAGATATTGCTAAATGTTTTGCTACAGTCGGTAAAGTGTTGAAAAAGGTAAAGTGATTGATTTAAAGTGTGATGGACAATGTATGCTTCTGCTATTTAGACAGACGAGCTAATATTTGATATAACAAAAGGTTTGAAAATATATACTTTGCATGAATGAAAAATCTAGCACGATATTTGAGTTATAATAATATCGTCAAGAACTTGCAAAGGTGATATAGGTTAATAAATACCCCTGATGCCATGAATATAACCAAACCCGTGCCGCCAACAGTTGACAAGGCTCCAGCATATGTCGCAAACAATTGAGATGGCGTCATTTCATGCAGATACTCTTGTACTAGCATTGCAGATTCAGGCTAAAACATTAATTCAACAATTTTTCTTTGAACCGGAATATAAAGGTAGCTTTTCACTTTTTAAGGCTATCCTAGAATTTTCTAAACTTCTATATTATTTACGCCAAACATGTGGTTTGTCATCTTTTATTTGTTGCTTTTTATAACATTTATGATCAAATGCATCTTTTGTATAATTGCTATATATCATTTGTCATAAAGATTTTCCGCAAAGTTTTACATCTAGTGTAAGCGGGTAGAGTTATACGGCAAAATAACTATGAAACATGAAACCTAACTGTCAAAAGGCTTTACAAAACCTAAATCTTTCTTTCTTAACAAACCAAGCATACATTTTTGATAGCTGTTTGTTTAGACTATATATATGCCATTCAAGTCAAGTGAAACTTGATATTACAAACGTGCAATATTAATGAAATAATATTCTAATATATTTTAGATAACTTAAGATTATATAGATGCATTTATGGAAAAGAGAAGACAACAGAATCCCTAAAGAACGTCCAAAACGGCAAAAAAATAATGAAGGCTTGGCTTGATCGAGTCTATACCAGGACGGTAGTTGTTAGTGCAAACAACCTTCAACATCCACTAGCACAGATTTAACAAATATTCAACATTTAGACATGAAATGGTTAAATTTTGCATACAGAAAATCCACAGACTTATGTTATATCTAAAAACATGGGAAAAAACAAGAGCAAAAACAAACAACAAGAGCTATAGATCTTTTAGTATATGTTTTGCATATATTTTAAGTCATACCACATGCAGGAAAATATTTCCAACGGCATTAATCCCCTCGGCAGGACTTGTTCCAAGACAGTATGCCAGGGCATGTCCAACAGTGTCAACAATCGCCTTGATTACACCGAGGTATGTCAGCACGGATATTGCGATGATGATGACAAAAATTTGGGCTGTAGCCTTATATAGAATGATAAAAAATTATAAGTATATATACATACTTCTTTTTTCTCTTATATTTTACAACCAATTTGTTGAAGAAAACTATTTTAAGTCATAACATTGCAACTGCTTATATCATTTGTGAAGGAAATATGGCTATTGCTAAATATTTTGTTTTCCTTTTTTCCCCTTTGAGGGACGCAAGCACTCGTACTTACTTACTTTAATTTTTTTGTATCTATGAATACTGCGTAGTAAAAAAAGTATGAATTTAGAGCAGTTTTTCAATAAATGATAATAAATTTCATATTGCAAACGAATTTATTTTAATAGGCCGTATCTGCATTTATAGTTTTTTTTTTATAAAAAAAGAAAATGTATATTGAGATAAGAAATACAGTGTAGATGCATAAGAAGCACATGCTACGATAGAATATCTCTTTTTTATTCATACCTATAAAACTTGGTAATAGTTTTTGAAATGTACTGAAGGTAATTATGTAATGGTCCATGTATTTGTCATGATAGCGAGTTGCATAAAATTTCAATAAAAATAAAATCTCGTATTTTAAGAATTAAGTAGGTTATGCATAAAATACAAAAAGTAAAAAAATTAAAATAAGAAATATAGGTTACCCTCTGAAAGTACAATGTTATTTAATATGTAACTTGAAAAAAGGCTCGACCAACAATATTTTGTATAATATTCATATATTATACAAAATATTGTTGGTCGAGCTTTAATTCTTTTCATTCATATGAAAAAAAAACTATAAGTAATGTCTTGTGAACTGTGTATGTTTTATTTTAGTAGCTTTTATGAGAATTATTTTAGACTGGAAAAAAATCAGGTGTCTGTAGTGTTCAGTCATAAAAAGATAGTTTTTGTGAGCGGGGCTTGAAAAATTGGCAAGTTTTAACAACACATTTTTGGAAAGGCATATTTAAATTAAACATTTGCATTTTTTATTAAAGTGTTGCTTTGTGAGCGGAGCTTGAAAAATTGGCAAGTTTTAACAACACATTTTTGGAAAGGCATACTTAAATTAAACATTGGCATTTTTTATTAAAGTGTTGCTTTGTGAGCGGGGCTTGAAAAATTGGCAAGTTTTAACAACACATTTTTGGAAAGGCATATTTAAATTAAACATTTGCATTTTTTATTAAAGTGTTGCTTTCTTCAAACGAGAGTGTCTTTTTCCCTGTTATCTGTTTTAAAGGAACAACTCGACAGTTTGAAAATTCTTAACCACAATAAGTAGCTTTAATTAACAGATTAAATAAAAAAGTTAAACTAAATTCATAAGTTTAAGTATAGACAGATTTGATAAAACCTACACCAAATGCCAAATAGTGATCTTTATAAGTTTTTCCAAACAGAAAAATACTTCCAGCTTCACCGTGAGCCAGTAGCTCCTCGAGTCGTCTACTAACCCAGCGCATTACGTTAGCTCCCCAACTTGTCTTCAAAATCAACAAAGCCATGATGAATTGAATAGCCATGGCCCAGTAGACGGTGTGCCAATTGACCTTGCAGAAAAAAAATCATCAAGTTAAAACCCTACTAGCTGTACCTCGCAAAAGTCATTTAGTCACGTCAAATGATACTTTTTTGAAAATTTCATTTTACTCTCAGTCAAATTAAAAAAAAACATGATTCTAAAATAAAGCGGTAGAGAAACATTTCGGATTTAAGAACCGAGAAAAGCCAATCTCAAAAATAAAAGTTGACGGAATATTTATCAAAACCTGCCAAGTTAATTTAATTTAGTAAATGAAACAGGCACTGTGAAGTACCGAAATACGCCGACATTGATAAGCGAAAAGAAAAAAAATGCAATTTTAAATGACGCTGTTTGCATTTATATATTGTAATATGTCATTTCATTTTATTACCTATTAAAGTAACAAAATAACGGAAATAATGATAAAAACATGGTCAGTTTAAGTACTACCAAAATACCAAGGACCGAAACATAGTGAATAAAAATACTAAACATGTTAAATTAAAGTACCTACAAAATGGTCAATGTTAGAAGTAAAACAAAACACATTGAATATGGAAACATGCCGAACAACAACTCGAAAATGTGTTTGCACTTGAGTCTATCAAAACAGAACTTACTTTACATTTATTGTTGGAATACAGGAACAATAACAGCGGGAATCCTAGTAATCCGATAAGTGACCAAAGGTTTTCTGGTGTCTTCATGGCAACAGCTATTACCAAGTATATGACAAAGAAAGCAGACATGGCAATGTACAAGAGCCTGTAGTATAAAATAGAGGGATATTACACTCCTAATTAGGCTTTTCTATCTCCTACGTAGGAGTTTTTATTTTTTATAGAACACGTTAAATTGGCACCAGGACGCTTCCGTAGTTTTCCGCCATTTGGTCCTTTTACTTTTTAAAACGAAGCAGACTGGTCAAATCATATCATGTAAGCTATGTCATAAGTCTATTATAGTGTTTTAGAAGTAACCAATTAAATCCAGTTTGTATACATGACTACGCATTTGAAACATTTGTTTATATCAGATAGACGCTCCATCATTTTGTCCGAGTATACATGTATATATTTGGCACCATATGTATTATGTTTCACTGTTATCTAGAACTTGAAACGTTCCCGGTCAGTTAGTTCCCGTCGACGATACTAGTATTAAATTTCTAGAAAGGTAAGAATGATCACTAATTTATATTAATTTATACGTTATTATTTCTAAAAAGGTATAATATGTATACAAGGAATGAGCTAACGATAAAAAGGAGCTTACCATCTTAAAATCAAGCTCCGATTACCCTTTGAATATTCAGTGCAGAGCGCTTGGAAACCGGCCGTTAGTTTTGAATGAAAACCAATCCTCTTAAGCACATGCCAAGCAATGATGAGAATCCCGCAAATTGTACATCCAATCAATCTCCATGACCCTTCATCACCAATATGATAAGACAACGCGAATCCAAAATATACAAAATATGCAAGGAGCAACACTACCTTTCCGAGCAAAATGAATTTGTCCGAGTTCGCTTTAAGATATTTGATTTTCGCTCGTGCCGTCTTCGAAAATTTGCTCTTACTTTCTGAAAACTTCAATTTAAAATCAGATCCCTTTTCATTATTTTTGTTTGTAAAATGAATTCCAGAAACTGTGTTATTTTGATGATGTTTAACCTCTTCACTCGGCGCATTTTCACTTTTTATTTCATTAAGTTCCATATCCAACGTGTATGGCATACAGTACCTAAGTTATTTCTAAATCTATACTGCGGTGACTATATGTTAAATACGCGTGTCGTTATTACAAACATAAATTACATAAATGTTAAAATTATTAAATTATGCAAGTCGTCGCAAACAAGGTAAAACTTGTTTACCAAGAATACCGCGTCAAAATCATTGACCCATTCTAAAAAGATGTAGGCTAAATAAAGAAGGAACAGGAAGTTAAAAGACTTAATCGACAAATAAAGATTTTGTTATAAATAATGGAAGAATTAAAGGAGAAAAACAGATATTAAATATCATTTTATAATGTGTCACATATATTAGTAATGTAATACCCTGGTCCATAGTAACTTAAATAGAGACAGATAGAACCTAACTTTAAAGCTTTATTGTATTTTTTATTTATTGCCTAATGTGTTTATATTAAGGTTGATAACAAGTTTATATTCAGGGCATTATAATTGCTAGGTATTTATCTTAAATCAGTTTATTGTGTGCATGTGGTACTTGTAAATGCAGGATAATAAAAGTTACTTCTTGGTTTAAGCAGCCATGTTTGTATACATCCTGTTGCATTGCATTGTGGGTAGTAGCTTAGCAACTGCAGCTTCCTTTTATTGTTTACTTGTCAATGCAGAGATGTCAAGCAACTTTTATCAACAATTTAAAACTGTTAACCCGCTTAAAAGGAAATTTCAGGTTATAATCTATTGTATTAATTATATTTTTATTAAATAAGACTAATAATTATTATTTTATATGGGTAATTTTAATATTAAAATTATCATTTGTTTCCATTTACTGTGAGCTTCACAGTCCCACATTATTGACATGATTTTATGTGAAGTTGGCAAACTTCACAAGTTTTGAAATGTGAACATCCACACTTTTTTGTGTGAAGTCTGGGTAGTATATAAACTGCTGTGAGCTCATTTTCGAGGACACACACGCCAAAAACTTGCTAAATTCAGTATAAGTTTTATTCGAGAAACAACAATCTTTAAGGTACTTTAACTTATTTTGTGAATATTTTCTATAAATCCATGAAGTCTCTTCATAAAATTAACATTTTGATAAGTAATATTTTAAGTAATTTTAAGCTGATAATTTTATTCATTAATAGTAGCAGTTTTACAAGGCTTACTGACAGTACTGAATGGTTATTTAAGTTTACCTGCCTTATATGTCTGAATTTGTGACTTTGTTGAATATAATCAAGTCTGAGAGAGAAAGTGACTGTTTTGTAATAGCGATGTATTGTTGACATAAGTTGTTCTTATATAAAATATAATTGCGATTGACTGTTGAAAGAGAAATTATATATGTGTTTATTAAGTGAATAAATTGAAGTTTTAAGTTTATCACAAGTCTTAGTTTTTCGATGCATCACATTAATTTTCACAAGAATTAGTGTTTTCAAAAGAAAGCAACAGCTGGAAGCTGATCAAGATCGCTACCCATAACAGATATTGCCCATTATTACTCAAGTTCGGAATCCAAGGCTCGAGCTACCAATTGTGATCGACTGACGTCCTAGTCCGTGTCCAAATAGCGTAACAGTATTCAAATGTTTGTGATGATTTGTCACATCTATTAGTATTCATAAGTTTGTGATGATGTGTAACAGATAATGAGTATTCATAAGTTTGTGATGATGTGTCACATACATGTATATTAGTATTTAAAAGTTTGTGATGATGTGTCACAGATATTAGTATTCAAAAGTTTGTGATAATGTGTCACAAATATAAGTATTCAAAAGTTTGTGATGATGTGTCACAGATATTAGTATTCAAAAGTTTGTGATGATGTGTCATAGATATTGGTATTCAAAAAGTTTGTGATAATGTGTCACAGATATTGGTATTGAAAAAAAATGTGATGATGCCTCAGATATTGGTATTCAAAAAGTTTGTGATGATGTGTCACATATATTAGTATTCAAAAGTTTGTGATAATGTGTCACAGATATAAGTATTCATAAGTTTGTGATAATGTGTTACATATATTAGTATTCAAAAGTGTGTGATAATGTGTCACATATATTAGTATTCAAAACTTTGTGATGATGTGCCTCAGTTATATAAAAGTATATGGCGATGTGTCACAGATGTAAGATATTCAAAAATACGTGATGCTGTGTCACATAAATTATAAATTTCTATAGTTATGTTGCGATATGTTACATGTATTACATATACAACAGTGTGTCAAAATGTGTAACTGAGTTTAGATATGAAAACATATGTGATAATATGTCACAGAGATTAGATGTAAAAAATTATGTGATGATATTTTATAAAAATTAGAAATTCAATATTTTCAGACTGTATATCAGAGACATTTTTCTTTTTCAAAAACATATTTCAAAAGTAACAAAAGCCTTTGACAAACAAATGCTACAAGAGTGTGTCTTTGGCAATAGAAACATATAGGTCGCTAGGCTCTTTTATTTGATATAAAGAACGCTTTTATTTGATATAAAGAACGCTTTTTAGAATAGATGGGTAATATATACACTTGTACTTTTTGAATCATCTTTAAACATATAATGGTTATGCGAATTGTAATATTATTTTAATTTGTAATGTATACTGGGATCCTACATATTACCGGACAAAATATGAAGTTTTTTATCTGTAACTTTCACTTAAAATAATAAAAAAAAGAATGGAATTTTACCCGAATAATTTTAGGTTCTTAATGCACATAAACATTCCTTTATCAAACATGAAATTAAACATTTGACCGTAGAATTGTGTCTTTAAAGTAGGACATTGTAAAAAGAAAAAAAATCGTGTAGACAACTCAATTGGAAATCGGTTCTTCGTCATACAGATTCCTGTTGATCATCACGTACCATGTTAACGTTAAAAAGAATTAAAAGTAAAACCTTTCTAAAATAACCCATTAAGGGTATCCATATTCGGGCATGCGCAGAACAGATTATTCCCCCGCATGACCAGGTCATGAAAAAACTAGTTAGCAAAAGGGCATGTTAGTAGATAAAGAACTGAATCAACAATATTTACCTGAGAGTGGTTTTGTTGTTATTTACTTTGAAATAGAAAGTGTGTGTACGATTAAAACCGTATGATTTTTTAATCGAAGTAAAAAGTAAAGCACTATTCGGCAATAATATTAGCTTTTGTCCGGTAAATATGTAGGATCCCAGTACATGAAATCACGTAACGTGTCTTCTAATTACCATGTTAGGAGCGTTAGTGACCTCATTATACTATGTGAGTAGCGTTCAGAGACTTTTATTAACTATGTGTGTAGCGTTCAGAGACTTTTATTAACTATGTGAGTAACGTTCAGAGACTTTTATTAACTATGTGAGTAACGTTCAGAGACTTTTATTAACTATGTGAGTAACGTTCAGAGACTTTTATTAACTATGTGAGTAGCGTTCAGAGACTTTTATTAACTATGTGTGTAACGTTCAGAGACTTTTATTAACTATGTGAGTAACGTTCAGAGACTTTTATTAACTATGTGAGTAACGTTCAGATACTTTTATTAACTATGTGAGTAACGTTCAGAGACTTTTATTAACTATGTGAGTAGCGTTCAGTGACTTTTATTAACTATGTGAGTAGCGATCAGTGACTTTTATTAACTATGTGAGTAGCGGTCATTTTTTTAACTATGTTAGAAGCGGTCAGAGAATTTTATTAACTATGTGAGTAGCGTTCAGTGTCTTCTATTTACCATGTTAGTAGCGGTCAGAGACTTTTATTAACTATGTGAGTAACGTTCAGTGACTTTTATTAACTATGTGAGTAGCGGTCAGAGACTTTTATTAACTATGTGAATAACGGTCAGAGACTTTTATTAACTATGTGAGTAACATTCAGAGACTTTTATTAACTATGTGAGTAACGTTCTGAGACTTTTATTAACTATGTGAGTAACGTTCAGAGACTTTTATTAACTATGTGTGTAACGTTCAGAGACTTTTATTAACTATGTGAGTAACGTTCAGAGACTTTTATTAACTATGTGAGTAACGTTCAGATACTTTTATTAACTATGTGAGTAACGTTCAGAGACTTTTATTAACTATGTGAGTAGCGTTCAGTGACTTTTATTAACTATGTGAGTAGCGATCAGTGACTTTTATTAACTATGTGAGTAGCGGTCATTTTTTTAACTATGTTAGAAGCGGTCAGAGAATTTTATTAACTATGTGAGTAGCGTTCAGTGTCTTCTATTTACCATGTTAGTAGCGGTCAGAGACTTTTATTAACTATGTGAGTAACGTTCAGTGACTTTTATTAACTATTTGAGTAGCGGTCAGAGACTTTTATTAACTATATGAATAGCGTTCAGTGTCCTCATTTTATCATGTGAGTAGCGTTCAGAGACTTTTATTAACTATGTGAGTAACTTTTGTTTGATATATGGCGTAACCATACTTTTTTCATGACAAAGATAAATTGTAATTTTTGTGGAGTAGCGGGGGATCGAATATGCAACCCCTTGATTTGTAGTCAGACAGTGTTACCACTGCACCACAGCGCCCGCTCTGATTAATAACTGTTTAGAAAGTGTCTATATACATTTACACATTGACAGCCAACAAATGGGTTATACAATTGAATTTTCACACCTTTATAGTAGCTTAAAATGTTTTAACGTATTTAAGATTTTTGCTTACATTCGTGTCTTTGCTTGCGGTGTTACAATCTAGAAAAAACTAGAAACAATTAAAGAAAACAAGAATTAGTATTATTTTGTTATGCTATATTAGACTCCGACCGGAAAAGTTCAAACACTAGCCTTGATAATAATAAGGTTTGTACACATTATTTGGACAAAGCAATTTATCATGCACACAGCATAACGGTATGTTGCTAACAGAACCGTACGTGAAGTACGGAATTTAGATTATCTTCCTTTCTGGAAAACACCGTGAAGAAAAGAGTCGAATTCATTTGCAAAAAATGCCAAAAGCAAAACCAAGGTCTAGGAGGGCTAGGTCGGATTTAAGAGAAAAAGATCAACAGGGTGTCTAGCCCCTGCATCAGCAGGTCTTACCATGTCGGGCACATCAGTCGCCACCCGCTGAAGTCAAACCACCTGTCAGTCAGCCCCTTGCACATCAGCCTCCAACAGTAAACGTACAGCCTCCTGTGATTGTACAGCAACCTGCTGTTCAGCCTTTTCTTGTTGACGTACAGCAACCTGTTGTTCAGCATCAACCTGTCAATATACAGCCACCTATGGTACAATATGTATCAAATCCACCTTGTGTACAGCACCAGCATGGACAGTCTCAGCATGGATAACCTCAGTCAGTAGAAAGACGACAGCTGTTAGACGAGCCATTCCTTCTGGTAGAGCATTCAATAGACGTTTTAATAATGCTATGTCCCAAGCACGTTTACCCCATCATTTCAGTAGAGTCTCTGCTGGAATGCGCTACGATATGGAAGTCCATTACAAGTGTATATAGTTGGCTCGTCAATAATAAAATATGCTGAGCAACATGCAAAGAATACTGTTGGTCAACAGCTTGGCTTAAGCAGGTATACATTTTTTCTAAATTAGAAAGGTGTTTCTTCTTTGAAGGTTGAAAAATGCACTATCAGCCATTGAAGAACTTGTTCAACATAATAGCCCAGACATAATTGTCATTCATTGCGGAGGTAACAATGTCGGTTCTACTAATGTTTTCTCTAAGATCACTACTGAATGAGCTTTTTCAAAGATATTCATTTGCTCTAATACTAGTAGTATTTTTCACAAATTTTACCAAGATTAGAATGGCGTTATGAACGCAATCACAACTCTTTAGAACTAGCTTGTAAACGCATCAATAATTCCATTTGACAAAAATAGTTAAAAAAGGTGGAGCTTTGATTAAGTATCCAGAAATAGTTCAAGAATCACGGCCTTGTTTCGCAGCGACCAAGTCAATTTGTCGAGTTTGGGCAATGACATTTTTCTAAACACTTTGCAAGGGGCACTACATAAGTTTTGTCATAAGAATGATGTTGTTTCTTTTTCTGACGTCTCTGAGGTTGGTCCATGGCTTGCTTTGTAATTTTCCCCTTTGCACGTACACTTTGTTGCGGTGGACTACTGCCGAAGTCCAATTGGCAGAATACGGGCATGGTTTATTTAGAGACATATTTTATTACGTAGGCAGTATCTGTACATCAGGCTGTCAGTTACACATGGTGATGTGTTTCTCTAAATTGTCAAATTTAAGATTTGAGGGGATAAACTTGATATGTTGTGTTTTGGAGGCTGCCCGTTGATAGTGAAATTATGCGCCTCACTGTTGTTTTTTGGTTAGCAAAATGTTTGCTATCACCAGACTGTCCTGCATATTTAGGCAAGGAACTTTTTATATTTCATGATGCAGTATCTGATCACCAGGCTGTTTTCATGTGTTTTTTTTAGTTGATATACTTTGTTTTGTTGTTTTTTGTAGGCTACCAGTTGTGCCTCACTGTATTTGATTTCATATAAAACATATATTGCAAGCAGCCATGGAGATAAATTGCCAATACAATATAAAATAAATTTATAGAAATGATAACACCTTTTTGTTTTTATCAAGAATTAATTTTGCCCCAACCTGTTGTGCTGATAATAAGATTTGTACACATTATTTGGACAAAGCAATTTATCATGCACACAGCATTACGGTATGTTGGTATTAGTATATAAATACAGAACCATACGTGAAGCACGTAATTTAGATTATCTCCCTTTCTGGAAAACACCTTGAAGAAAAAGAGTCGAATTCATTTGCAGAGAAGCATTTCTTTTCCCATCCACCCTCCCAATTTTTATTGTTAGACATACATTCTACTTATTCAATGAAATATATTTGTTCTGATACATGATAGGCTAAGTATACACTGAAACATATATCTAATAAGTTAACTGTTGTAAATGAAAGCAATCTGACTCACACAGACGCAACGTACCACATGAAATATTGAGAGGTCGGAGGTTGGCAAGACTGCGTATGACAGGCAACATATCCTATCGGTGAATATACAATAACAAAGTACTCGATAAAAAGTATAAAAATGACAGAACACACCAGTAATGTTGTGCTGAACATGAAATAAGAAAAAAAGGAAAAAAAAAAGAAAAAACACACACACAACAGGAACGGACTTGACACTCTTAAGCAATGACCGGCCTGAAAAGACCCAAAAAATTTAAAAATTAAAAAGGAGTACATAAAAATTTTTTCTGTCTCCTAAAACCATTTATTATACGTTTTTTCCTTTAAAAAGCTTTTTTAAAGCTTTTTAAATTTAAAACACGGGGAAATCCCCGGGTTTAAGGGGAGGGCGAAAAAGGTCGCCCCCATTAAAAAAAGTATTAACCCCTTGCTTTAAGGTAGACAACACTGATCTTAATTCATAATTATTTATGGTTTTATTCTTGAATTTAATCTTCTTTGAGACATGATTTTTTATGCGTCATACTATGGCATATACAGAGTGGTGTATATTCATGAATGATTGGAAAATGATAAGGTCAAGCCATTCAGCGTTTTTAAAGTTGGCAGATTTATGATTATACACTTATATAAAATTGATCTGACTTAAATTCAAATTAATTTGTCTCATGTTATCAACTTTACATATGAGTCGAGTGGATAACATTTTTACATTTTCAGCATCATAATCAGAGAGTGCCAATGCCCTTAATGCCATTTTGGCCTGGCATATATTGCTGGACCATAGTAACTGTTTTTATGAGATCGTGCAGTCTACTTTATTCATCGTCTCAATATCATCTAAGATCATTCATGTCAGGATTAGCATTTGCAATTACATGTAATTCCAACAGGCCTACTTTTTACAAAATTAATACGTATCGACTCTCCGCGCTTTGCTACTGTACTGACCAGGGAAAATTATCCCTGCCGTGGCGATGTTATGCGACTTTCTGCCAACTTTGTTATAAGATAAAACGCAAAACCAAATCTTAAGAAGTAAACGAATGATGATTCATACACGATCATTTGAATGATCGAATTTAAGCTAAGTTCAAAAATTATTCTACATTTTCTATCATCTTAAAACAGTGCAAACTGTTTAACTGTCTATGATTATCAGGCTGATAAAAGACAATATTTATGTTTAACTAACTTAATGCGCTGAAAGATACATAAAGGAACAGATAACCAGCCCATTTGTATTCTACATATTGATGAATATAATACGTTCATATCAATGCAATTGTTAAAGGGACTCTACAGTGGTTTTTTGACATGATGGGACTGAAAATATTTTTTTCCATATAAATGTACCATTTGATGTAGGTTTAAACCACTAATCTTTGTGCAAAATTTCAGATCATTTGCGTACTTCGTTTTTCCAGAATAATTATACAAATTGTAAAAAAAAATGACCCAAAATGAAAACCGGGCTAAAAAAGGCATAAAAATACGATTTTCAATTTATTTCAAAGTATATTTCTCAACTATCTTTGCATATATTTCTGCTTTTAAAACTTTTTTCAAAGTTTTTTTTGCGCCCCAGCTTCCCAAAAAATTTAAAAGAAAAAAAAATTCCAAAAATTTGGGGGTTTAAAAGTTTTAAGGGGCTTTTAAACCCCTCCAATTTTGGAATTTCCCCTTTAAAATTATTTATCCTTTGACTTTAAAACCTTTAAAAAGCTGTAACCCAAAAGTGATTTTTACTTTGTCACACCAGAATTTGGCCGAGTTCCCCTTTTCAGTCCGATTTCCGGGGGGAAACCTTGGGGCCCGGTTTTTATACTTTGGTAAACTCCCGTTTTTGTTTTTTCAAATTGAAAAACCCCAAAAAATTCAAAATGACTTACAAAACCCCAAAACCCCTCGGCCCTATTCATAATTTTACAAACCTTTAGTAGGTTAATTTTTAAAATACTTGGGAAAATTTATAACGTTTGATTCTTTTTAAAAAGCCAGTATTTTAAATGGGCGCGGTCAAACCTTTTAATTATTAATTATTGTCATAGTTCCTCGAAAACACGTCGGGCATTTGATAAGATTTAACTCCGCTTAATCCCTGCATTGAATATAATTAAGCTCGCAAAATGGACACGGAACCAACATAAGCCTCAGGGGGTCTAACAATTACTCTAAGGTTGACGATTAATGATAAAAGTCTTGTAAACAAAGGCATTTATGCTAGTCTAGCGTCAGCGTTATCTTTGTCCAAATCAATAGCCTTAATCTCATTTTGAAATTCTATTTCCTTAATAGGAAATCTTTGGTTATTACGGTTGCTGATAACGTTTTGTTCTTATTATCGTAATTTTATTACATAGGGTTATTACCCTATTATTATGAGTGCTTTTGCTTAGCTCTCGACCTATTGGTAAAGTGTTATTTTATTTGATATTGAAAACGGTGGAACGTGGGAAAAGCAAAGGTTTATTAGACTTAAATCCAAACTGTTAAAAATCTGGAAGTTAAAAAAGGTGAAAGAAAAGAAATTTCATACGTCGTAAGTTTGTTTTGTCATTTATTTGAGAAAAAAATATAGCTTTAAAAAGTCTAATTGTAATAAATACTTAATTACTAATCCGACTTTTGAAAATAAATATTTATAAATAATAACATATTAAATGCAATTTGTTTAAATGCATGTCATTTTCAATTTGTTAAAATAAATTGTATAAATTTCCTCAAATATTTACTTGCTAGTAGTTGTGTGCATCTTATACATTCATTTGCGTGTTGGAAGCGTCACATTAAGAGAGAAAATGTATTATGAGAAAAAAAGAAACCACAAAAAGTCAGTGTGGTTAAATATTACTTGATGCAAATTTAAGGCACATAATGCCTCAGAAATTGATAAAAATCCCTCTGTAGAGAGGGCAAATATGAGTATTACAATGTTTAGAAGGTTTGATACTTATCATACTTGAAGGAAGTAGCACTTAATCTGATCTTATTTGTCATAAAAGTAGCAAAATATAAGCAAAGTAGTATCCATTTTGAATTCTATACAAAACATTTATTCACTATTACTATAACTAACTGACAGGGGCAACAGAGGCAACATATTCAGAAGATGTTTCAGGTTCTTGACAAATGAGTACTATTTTGGAAACTATAACAAGACACCAAAAACAAAAACAAAACAAAGCAAATAAAGCAGATTATAAATTAAAATTGAGAAATAAAATTTTTAACATTCTGGGGCATTATGCTCCTTTGTAAGGCACGATAAAAAGTTAGTAAAGATTACTGGAATTATCATTATGCATAAATATTTCTGGAAACAAACTTATATTTTCCGAATAATCATTCACATATTTAGTGAAAATGTCAGCAAAATCTACCACGGAGACCAATGAAACAGCAACAGTTCTGACAAGATCAGAAGAACAAGCGGTCAAGGACACATGGGCCCTGGTGTATATCAATTCTCGGAGTAATGGTCTCGAGTTGTTTTTAAGGTATTTGTTTTTGTATTTACAATAAATACAAATTAATGGTGATAAACTTTTAGATTGATTTGTAATTTACACAATGTTTGCCCGCTTTGAGTGGGAGTAGAAGATTTATGGCTCAGAAGTAATTTTTTTAAAGTGCCCTTCATATCCATCTAGTTATAGAAAATCATTTTGAGTTTTTTCCTAACCCAGATAAATGTTTTTCGTAAATGCAGTTATATTTTCCAGAAGAATTGTGTAAACTTAGATAAAACTTTTGTTTTGAATTAGAAATAATATAGAGACCATTTTTAAGATTTATTGAGGCAAATGTGTGTCGTCGGCAAAATGTCCAGGCTTATATTTCGAGGCGTTTTTCAAATCTTTTGTCGACAACATGTTTCGTCTAAATACTTTGAATCAGCGGTTTGTTCGAATTTGTAACTAAATATGTGTTGAAAAATTGGTAGGGATCATATGCATCAAATAATATAAAAGAAAAGTTTGATTGTAACTTCTCAAGATTTAAATCATTTGTTTGTAATACAATATATATGATATACTTTAACATACGAACTCTTGTTCGTCATTGCTAAATGTTTGAAACTATTCAAATATACAATAAAGTTACATGCATTTTACATAAATTTGTTTATATATGTATGAGCTACATACACATTTACTTTCAAAATTGGTTGGGTTAAAAGTCACGCCAAACATATAAAGTTTATGTGGCGACTTTCTAGCCTTTGTAATGAATATACAGCTCTCTGGTGGCCTCCCGTGCCTTCCCGTGCCCTCCCGTGCATTATTTCAGGCATGATTTTGTAATCTGAATAGAACCACTGACGTTCCCTAAGCTAGCTGAATAGTTCCTTTACAATAAATATTTCAAGGTGTCCAACGGGAGTGATTTGACCCACGGAGGAGAGGAGGCCGTGATCATATCAATAAGAATTACCTGATGGACAAAGACATGTAAGAAATTGTAGAAATACATGTAGAAAACAGAGCAAAGTTTCAATGAACAAAAGATTTACAAGGGTACAATAAATTGCAGAGTCACTAATGTTTGAATACTGGAAACGTATAGGTACTTGACAAAACGCATGACTTTACAAGTGTTTGACTAAAGATAAAGATGATCAAATGTTTGTTTTAGCAAGGTCATTGCGTGATAATATAATCACATCAGATAAATAAAACTGTTTTCAAGTATGCTTCAATTCAATTTATACAAAAGTTGATATAAATGTAATAAAACGTTTTTGGCTTTTTGGTTTCATATAAGTTTATATGGCTAAGTTAACATAGGCTATAATGTTAATTTCATGATTTATCAGTCAAAAACACTACGTATCACCATAAATCTTATAAAAGGTTTCTAGGTTAACGTCATGTGCCTATAAATCATAGTTTAAGATGATGTTATAAAAAGGCGAAAGACTAATAAAAATCGAAATAATGTCACCAGAAATTGGCTAACCATATTTTATTGAAATAATTTGTAGGACGGATATTAAGGAAAACTTTAAATGTCACGTACACCAAACCTTTATGTGTCTTGAATTTTTGGGTTGTGGGTGGGGTCGGGGGGAGGGGTGTGTGTCAATACTAACAAATAAGTATCTGCGTCACAGTTAGTATGATGGACTGGTTTGTGATAGTGTCGTGTGAAACAATTGTTAGATGGTACAGCAGCTTCTCCTTTCTCTTCGATCATTTTGTTTATCTTTAAAAATAAAAATTTATTATATTCGGCCGTTGACTTAATAACTTTACCCGCGAAAAACCTGTCAGCTCTGGTCACTTTGTTGTTCTTTGGCAGACTACCCTTATCCAACCCTTAAATTCCCGAAAAGTGTTTATTCTTTTACAATAAACTTATTTGCTACATTTAATTACAGACTCTTCAAACAAATTCCTCATGCCAAAGGTTATTTTGAAAAGTTCAAAGATGAGCCTGAGGAAAACTTAAAACAAAGCGATGAATTAAAGTTCCATGTTGGAAAAATGATGGACAGTCTGAATGTTCTTGTTGGTAACCTTGGCAACAAAGAGTTTCTTGTAACTGAGACACAGACGATTGCACGAGACCATAAAAATAGAAGCGTGACGTCACAAGATTTCAAGGTTATACTTTTACATCAATTTTAAAAAGATAACCATTTTTTTCACATTTATGTTACATACATCAAAATAGTATGGAAGATAAACAATAAAGTTAACGTAAAGATCTCAAATGATGTATAAACAGAAGTAGTTTGTTCAATACCAAAAACATTCATTACGCCGATTCATTGCTTTGAAATGGTTTCTACCGCAAGGTCCAAACGGATAACTGTTTACCTTTTCATATTTCATAATGGTTCTATTTCGATTTAATTCCGATCAATAATCTATATAATAAAATTATTATACATGCAGGTAAAAAACTGATTGATTTTAAAAAGATACATTTTATTAGACTCTTATTTCAGGAGCTACACTTGGCTTTTAAATATCCGCTTGATTAATTTTAAGATATAGACATGAAAATTCTCTGTATCCTTGTAGCTTGTGTTTGAAATCCTTCAAAATATGCTGAAAGACAAACTTGGTGATAAATACAATGCTGCGACTGAAGTGTCATGGAAAAAATGTTGTGACGTCATATGGAACATTGTTGACGCAGAAATGAAAAGACACGTGGAAACCTGAACTTCAGTTGTAAAGAGAACACTACACTTCCTTGTATAAATTTTATTTTACGTGCAATATCTAGAATTAAAATCTAATTATCCGCCTTCGTATTATATTATTGCTAATGAATGCAAATTAAGTCAGAATTTGATCTTTTTTTTCACCGTCACATTTTGGGTATCAGAAGTAGTTGAAAACGTTCGTGTTAAAACGATATATTTACTTACAGTCGATTGCCAGTGGCGTAGCTTCATTTCGGTCATGTAGGCCGCGGCCAATATTTTTTCACAAGCAAGTGAAAAAAAAATTAATAAAAGTAATGTATTTCTCTACCTGCAAATTCGTATAATCCCTCGAGCGTGAACACATTTATTGTGCTAAATATATTCTAAACACCCACTTGCTTTGCGATTCTGAGCAAGCAGAAAACCCTTCTAGTGGTAGGTCCACACACTAAACTGCGATCCTGATTTTACTATGTTCACTTCTTGGTATAAAAAGTGAAGAACCAATCGGAGAAAATGATTTAACAATATATTGTTTCCTCTAAGAAGACAGTTTGGTACATAACCTGTTACGACGCATAGCATTATATTTTACATAATTAATATATAATACCATTTATTACATAAAATATTGTTTCATTTCCTTATTGTGTTATTGTTGATTGAAAAATTTCTTTTTTATGTCGTCTGCAATGTTCCAACATACTCTGTACAGGTATAAATGATGACAACAAAAACAGTTTGAGTTGGAAGAATGTAAAAAGTATCAAATTATCTAATGTTTAAACAAACAAGAATGTATCTCTGTATTCGACTTCAAGAGTTAAAGATTTATAAATGTAAATTATTGATGAACGTTCTGGAAAGTGAAGAATCTATGAAGGCAACTGAAGCAAAACATAAAAATTAACATTGCAGACTTGGATTTATGAAGTCCATCTTTGACTAAAAATGAATTATTGTGCAAACATCTGTCACGTTCTTTCACACCAATACCGTCTTTAGAACGAACAAATTTACCATGATAACAATATTAAATGAAATGTTTGTTTCGTAAAGGCTTGCTTTGTCAATAATTAACCCCCTTGTATTCTAAAGTATTTGTTATACATATCTCTTGTAGAACATTGACTTCAAACCACTTGCCCCTCACCGCTGTTCTACATAACATATAGTATAAAACACCTCATTAACAGCTGCAAAAACCTATTTTAAACGTCCTATATAGGTTTGACTTGTCGAATGAAATATTAGAATTGCACCAACTATAATAACCTTATAATCTTTTAATCTCGATTCACATTATTTATTGTACATAATTTATTTTGATATAACCCATTTTTCATAGCGAATTTTACTACATTTGTATTTTATATATCATAATAAATGCCTAAGATTTTAGATGGTAATAAACATATTAAAAGAATGAGTAATATATTCTTCTATTTTTCATAAGAATTCAAAAATTTTATTTATGATAATTTAAATAGCATCATAAGTAGTATATATTTTATATTAAATGCATTAAATCTTCACGACTTAAGAGATCAGCATCTACATTTATAATAAGAAAAGAAAAACCAACAATGAAGTTGAATAATTAGCTCTTAAATTACTGGCGGCAACTTATTATGTACCCGTGGGACTAAAAGTATAACATACTTGTATTTGTTGAAATGTAACATAAATATCACGGATGCAGTCACACAAATAAAATACATTTTGCCCGATGGATCGATAAGACCCAACAGATAGTAGCCTTTTGATGAAAAATATGACACAATAGTCGACATTATACTGTCTGTCGACGACAAAGTTCGTTCGTCTAATCGTTGACAAAAAGACTGGAAGTGTATTCGAATAGTTCAAGTGTTTTAATGAAATTTTTACAATATAAAAATATTGATAAATATTAATAATCATAGTTATAATAAAAGAAAAACAACAACAAAAACAACACGCGGTGCGCACGCACGCACGCACACGCCGAAACGATTTAATAAGTCATACATTGTAACAAAAATCAATATCATAATAAATACAAACACGTCGTGTTAACTACTTTGTTACGTAATTAGTACATTTTATTCTAATTAAAAATGTTCATTAGTACTACCATGACAACACTATTAACATAGTAATTAATGTCAACATTGCTTTACCAGGCCGTCGCGTGATTTCATGTATACATTACAAATAAAACTAATATTACAATTCGCATAACCATTATATGTTCTTCGTCGTCATAAAGAAAGATAATTCAAAACGTACAAGTGTATATATTACCCATCTATTCTAAAAAGCGTTCGTTATATCAAGTTAAAAAGCCTAGCGACCTATCTGTTGCTATTGCCAATGACACACTTTTGTAGCATTTGTTTGTCAAAGGCTTTTGATACTTTTGATCTGATATACAGTCTGATAATATTGAATATCTAGTGGGGTTTTTTTTAAATATCATCACATAATTGTTTATATTTAATCTCTGTGACATTTTATCACATAAATTTGCATATCTAAACTAAGTAACAATGTATATGTTATACATGTAACATATCTCCACATAATATTAGAAAAATATGTGATACAGCATCACGTACTTTTGAATATCTTACATCTGTGACAAATCGCCATATACTTTTAAATAACTGAGGCACATCATCACAAACTTTTGAATACTAATATATGTGATACATCATCGCAAACTTTTGAATACTAATATATGTGACACATTAGCACAAACTTATGAATACTAATATATGTGACTTGTCATCACAAACTTTTGAATACTAATATATGTGATACATCATCGCAAACTGTTGAATATTAATATATATGACACATCAAAACAAATTTTTTAATATTAATATATGTGACACATCATCATAAACTTTAAAATACTGATATCTGTGACTCTTCAAAAACACATCAACACAAACTTTTGAATACTAATATCTGTGACACATTATCACAAACTTTTGAATACTTATATATGTGACACATTATCACAAATTTTTGAATATTAACATCTGTGACACATTAACACAAACTTTTGAATACAAATATCTGTGGCACATCATCACAAACTTTTGAATACTAATATCTGTGACACATCATCACAAACTTTTCAATACTAATATCTGTTATACACAATCACAAATTTTGAATACTAATATCTGTTACACACCATCACAGGCTTTTAAATACATATATCTGTGACACATCATAAAAAAAACTTTTGAATACTAATATCTGTTACACACCATCACAAACTTTTGAATACTAATTTCTGTAACACATCGTCACAAACTTTTGAATTCTAATATATGTGACACAGCATCACAAACTTTTGAATACTAATATCTGTGACAAATCACATTAAACTTTTGAATTCTAATATCTGTGACACATCATCACAAACTTTTGAATACTTATATCTGTTACACATCATCACAAACTTTTGAATACTTATATCTGTGTCACATCATCACAAACTTTTGAATACTAATATACATGTATGTGACACATCATCACAAACTTATGAATACCCATTATCTGTAACACATCAACACACACTTATGAATACCCATTATCTGTTACACATCAACACAAACTTATGTACACATTATCTGGTACACAATCACATCATCACAAACTTTTGAATACTTATATCTTTGACACATTATTAAATCATATTGACTATCTGTTTTTCTCCTTTAATTCTTCCATTGTGAATAATAAAGTTTTTATTCGTCTCGTTCCCCCGTAATGATTCGGTTTTTTTACTCCCTGTTCCTTTCTTATTTAGCATACATCTTTTTTTTTAGAATGGGTCAATGGTTTTGGCGCAGTATTCTCGCTTGAAAGCAATACAAATCAAATTAATAGCAAAGTGTTTCTTGTTTGCGACGACTTGCAATATTAATTTTAACATTTATATAATTTATGTTTGTAATAACGACACGCATATTTTACATATAGTCACCGCAGTATAGATTTAGAAATAACTTAGGTACTGTATGGCATAGACGTTAGATATGGAACTTAACGAAATAAAAAATGAAAATGTGAAGAGTGAAGAGGTTAAATATCATCAAAGTAAAACAGTGTCTGGAATTCAGTTTACAAACAAACATAGTGAAAAGGGATCTGATTTTAAATTGAATTTTTTAAAAAGTAAGAGTCAATTTTCGAAGACGGCACGAGCGAAAATCAAATATCTTAAAGCGAACTCGGACAAATTCATTTTTCTAGGAAAGGTAGTGTTGCTCCTTGCGTATTTTGTATATTTTGGATTCGCGTTGTCTTATCATATTGGTGATGAAGGGTCATGGAGATTGATTGGATGTACAATTTGCGGGATTCTCATCATTGCCTGGCATGTGCTTAAGAGGACTGGTTTTCATTCAAAACTAACGGCCGGTCTCCAAGCGCTCTGCACTGAATATTCAAAGGGTAATCGGAGCTTGATTTTAAGATGGTAAGCTCCTTTTTATCGTTAGCTATTTCCTTGTATTCATATAATACCTTTTTAGAAATAATAACGTATAAAGTAGTGTTTAGTCTTACCCTTCTAGAAATTTAATATCGTCGACGGGAACGAACATACCGGGCACGTTTAAAACTTATAGATAACAGTGAAACGTAATACATATGGTGCAACATATGTATCCTCGGACAAAATGATGGAGCGTCTTACTGATGTAAACAAATGTTTCAAATGCGTTGTCATGTGTAGAAACTGGATTTAATTGGTTATTTCTAAAACACTATAGACTTCTGACAAAGCTTACCTGATATGATTTGATCAGCCTGCTTCGTTTTAGAAAGTATAAGGACCAGCGGCGGAAAACAAAAAGAAAACAAAAATAATGAAATTACTGAACAAGACATTATTTATATGCAAGAATTACACAAATGCACCTATTTTAGCGCAGTAACATCTGTCGACTTATTACCAAACCACACCTTTAAATGCTGAAGCGAATGTTAATGCACGAAAAAAGTGTAATATCCCTCTATTTTATACTACAGGCTCTTGTACATTGCGATGTCTGCTTTCTTTGTCATATACTTGGTAATAGCTGTTGCCATGAAGACGCCAGAAAACCTTTGGTCATTAATCGGATTACTAGGATTCCCGCTGTTATTGTACCTGTATTCCAACAATAAATGTAAAGTAAGTTCTGTTTTGATAGACTCAAGTGCAAACTCATTTTCGAGTTTGACTTGTTTCCATATTCAATTTTTTTTGTTTTGCTTCTAATATTGACCATTATGTATGCACCATGTTTAGTATTCTTATTCACTATGTTTCGGTCCTTGGTATTTTGGTAGTACTTAAACTGACCATGTTTTAATCATTATTTCCGTTATTTTGTTACTTTAATGGGTAATAAAATAAAATAACATATTACAAGATATAAACGCAAATATCGGTATTTAAAATTGCATTTTGTTCTTTTCGCTTATTAATGTCGGCGTATTTCGGTACTCCACAGTGCCTGTTTCATTTACTAAATTAAATTAATTTGGCAGGTTTTGATAAATATTTCGTCAACTTTTATTTTTGAGTTCGGCATTTCTCGATTCTTAAATCCGAAATGTTTCTGTACCGCTTTTTTTAAAATTTGACTGAGAGCAAAATGAAATTTTCAAAAAAGAATCATTTGACGTGACTAAATGACTTTTGCAAGGTACAGCTAGTTTTCAACTTGATGATTTTATTTTCTGCAAGGTCAATTGGCACACCGTTTTCTGGGCAATGGCTATTCAATTCATCATGGCGTTGTTGATTTTGAAGACAAGCTGGGGAGCTAACATTATCCGCTGGGTTAGCAGACGACTAGAGGAGCTACTGGCTCATGGTGTAGCTGGAAGTATTTTTCTGTTTGGAAAAACATATAAAGATCACTATTTGGCATTTGGTGTAGGTTTTATCGAATTTGTCTATACTTAAACTTATGAATTTAGTTAAACATTTTTAATCCGTTAATAAAGCTACTTCATGTACTTATTGTGGTTAAGAATTTGCAAACTGTCGAGTTGTCCC